TTATCTCTTATCATGTAAGTGACTTTTTCAGCCTCGTATACAGTTGCCGACAGATGGGTCAGGCCACCTGGTCCATCATCACAGTGGTGGAGTGCTCGCCACAAATAGTAACAGTTAGGGTAAGCCAAAGAACGGAGACTAAAGGCCATAATGAAGTTTGGCGCACAACCTCTTGATGGCAGTCATGTATGAAAAAATTTTCATCTACTTGTTTACAATTAATATATTATTAATGTTGAGTCAAACTCTAATATCAATGACAACAGGAAAAGGAGACCAAAGAACACAAAATGATATAGAAGTGAAAGAAAAAAATTAAGATAAAGCAATTACACTACACACATACACATAACTCTTTAAGGGTTAGGTTTAAATCTAGAAGTCAGACATCTGCTTCCCCCCTCAAATAAATATCCACAAACAATGCTGGACATGAAAGAACAAAGATAATTATTAACTTTTCTTTATTTCACTAAATCTTGGAAAATATACAATTTGTAAAAAAGTAGACGACAAATTTTCCATACCAGTACACGAACTCTATCTATTGGTTGTACACAAAATTTTGCTAAGACCTTTCGTCTCCGTTCTTTGGCTTATAAGTATAACTGTTAGCATTTGTGGCGAGCACCCCACCACTGAGGTGATGTACTGGGTGGCCTTGACCCATCTGTCTGCAACATGAGCACCATTATGCAAGACCACAAGCAATCTTATTCTTGTGACCATTTTGTCATTTATTACTTTAAATTCGTATGTATTTTTTATTCTCACCTGGTGAAGGACCAGCATCTGGTCATGAAACAGCCTATCCAGCCATTGTAATTTGTATGTTTAGTATTAAGATAAATTATAAGAAAACATCTTTTGGAGCATGTTTATTTACCCTCCCCATACATGATATCCAAGATATACCGACTACAATATTACTTTTCTGATACTTACATTCACTGGAACACATTTACAGTACTACAGTGATTTGTTCACAAGAGGAACTTTTAGTTAACATCTTTCATAACTATTAGACTGAGTATTATTCCTTAGAAGCTCTGAGTAAACTTTAAGCTGTTCACCAAGAGGTTTCTAATATGTGACATTCTTCATATTCCTAAAATGGCATTTTCATAAGGCCTCATATAAGTGCTGTACTAAAGCACAGGTGTTGACCGTTTTACAATGGATCTATATACAATCGATAAGTTTTACGATATTAAATTTTGTTTACCATTTACCCCTATGCAATGGCTAAGATCAGCTTACGGTGGTTGTTACCCAAATGTTTTCCTGCATTGTCACTGTTATGAAAGTGATGTGCAATAACTCGCAATATTCCGAGATGTGATGACGCATCTCGGAATGACTTAACATGTGCGACCAAACCAGGATACAAGGGGAGGCTTTAATTGTCCCTGGTAACTGCCAGGCTGAACTGTCATGTCACCCAGAGGATGGTTTGCATGTAGAAAAAGCTAATCTTTGGGCATAAAGTAATATATACTGTACCTGTAAATGTTAAGAGTAAATAAAAATAATAATAATACCAAAGAAAGCAAAAGAAAACAATATTGCATTGCCATTTGGCAATCATGTTACCACTCATGGGCATGGGACAGCGAGCTGAGATCCCCCGTGCCTTTCTCCCTGCTCTGTGCCAGCTCTCACACACTTAAGAAATGTTTATTCCATTTTTTTTTTACCTTATAATTTTTGGGGGCACATTCTGATTGAGTGTGTGTGCGCATTATGCATATAACAAAGTAAAAAAAAAAGGATAAAATTACATAGATCTACCCAAAATGTGTTGAAAAATACTCATTAAATAACTCACACAAGAAATGTTTGTTCCTTTTGTGCTTTTGACCTTATGATTATTTTATTTAATTCTGTATAAATGATTGAGTGCACATAACTTAGCAATAAAAAGTTATTCCCGTTTAGTTTTTTACCTCCATTTTTTTAGCACATTTTGTAATAAGGATTGTGTGCATGTAACAGTAAAAAAAAGAAAAAAAAAGAAGAAAATACTGTACGTATATCTCGCCCCACTCTGTGGTAACTCTGGCAACGTTTATTCCGTTGTTTTTAATTTATTTTTTACATAATGTATGAGATTGTGTGCATGTAACAAGAGTTAATAAACCTGAAGAAAATTTGGAGTTAAAAAATAACTGCAGCGAGTGCTAACTCTGGCTCTTTGGGGTCTCAGAAACGTAACTTATTTTCCCCAAAAGGTTACTAATATCAATATACAATAGATAACCTTATGATGGCTTTTCAAAGTCCCTAACCACATTGTATAATGGTCAGCACCTGTATATGCCTGGAGCCTCACTAAACCAGATTTCCCATCACAGGAAATCTCTAATAATTGGATTTGAAAGTTGCTTAATTTTTTTCCTACATGTTCCCTCATTCCTGTCACTTGCAAAAAGAAAAATTGTCATGGGTGGAATGCTCTGATATCCCACTTCTCTCTTACTTTTTTTTTTTTACATGTTTGTTGGGGGCAAGTACAGTATTGAGATGGTGTGGTAGGTAACTATGGTAGTGGATGAGTGTAGGCTGATTGTTGTTGTAGTGAGAGGAGCAAGTATTGAGATGATATTGGGGTGATTAGGGTGGCGGTGTGTCAGGGATAATTATAGTAGTTGTGTGCGAGTGACAGTTAAATTATAGTGATTATAATGTTATTAATAATATGTTTATAAGTGTGTAAGTGACTAAATATTCATGCAACAAGAACTAGAGGGAAATATTTTCATAAAAATTGAAACATTGATGTGGAGTCACAGTAATTTTGTTCTAATTTTATTGCACAAACAATAATGATAGGGAAGGAAAAATGCTCATATTTCAGTATTTTATCCAATAATAATCATAAACATTGTAAATGATGTATAGATTGTAAATTTTCACAGAGAAATAAGAAATAAAAGAAGGCAAAAAACAACAGTAATCATAATTGGGTAATATAGCACAGAAATTAAACATTAGAAGGTGTGTACAGGTAAAATATAATACTGTACCTCTGATAGAAGGTTTAGGGCTTTTTTGGCACCTCAGCGAAGAGGTTATTTAGAAACACATTACCCCAAAACAAAAAAATGTAAGAAAATATCAAATTCATTTGAAGGATCCCTAGACAGTATAACTGTAGGGCCAAGTAGATAGCCTGTATTAGTTCTATATGTGACTTACAAACATTAATATATGCAACCTATAAAGTGGCACACCACATATTATACAAGTCAGTGACAAACAGTGCATCAATCAAATATTTTTTACAAACAACAAAATTAACAAAAGTATATTAATATGACACCTTCAGTACTCCAAACAGCAACATAAAATGGTTTCTTCAACTGAAACATCATAATTAATATAAAATGGAAAAATATTAAAGATGAGAGTAACCATGGCAAAACAAAAAATGTCTTTCATTTTCCTATTAAATTATACAGTACAGTAACATAGCTAAGTTGACTCCTGAAAGCTGGTAATGTTGTACAGATACCATAGCTACTTCACTCCTCATCAGATGTTTCAGATTGATAAAGGATTAATTAACCCTCCCGTTGTTATATTCATAAGAAGGCCAACTTCACAGACGGTGATGCAAATCGAGTCACCAAAAATTAAGTTTTCAACAGAATTGATTCAAATTTTGATGCCTCATAGTAACAAGTAAGTTATAACAAACGAACTAATTGGTAACTCTCGAGGCCCATAGGAAGGGAACACCAGAACAATAAATGCTCAGTATTATCTCGGCAGGCACACCGTGAGAGTAAGCCGCGTCCATTTAAATTTCTAATACTCCGTGTTGGCTGCCTCAACTCCTGGATTACAGTACTAACTCTACTCCCTGAAATAATTTATTTTTAGTATTAGTGAAGTGATGGTTGAGTAATGTAATATATTTTTTATATTTACAGGGAAGTGTTTAGTTTTGAAAAGTTGTTACAGTACCATATCAGGCAAAACAACCTCGTTATAGTGGCATGTCTCCAAAAAAAAGTCTATGAAAAAAGACTGATTTTCTAGACTTACATGAATTTGATCAGTATCATTCTCTTAAAATTTATGTCGATATAAAACATAGGCACAAAAATAATCGGAAAAGATAGGAAATAATTTACCATTAGAGAATCATTTTTTTTTTTGGCTATTTTCTCAAAACTATTGGTCATCAGAAATCTGATTACTGCATTGGAAAGCTCATAAAATTCCACTTCTAGCTGTGTCTAGTACACTTAAAAAGTTGTTTTACACAATTTTGAGCTAGGAGGTTGTGAGCATATTGGTGTGAATTTTTTCTCATGTTTATTTGAAGTGACAAAAAATAGCGATGTACAGGTATTCTTTGGGGGCTATGTTGCAGAGCAATCAGTTACAGAGCCAAAGATATATGGTTTATGCCAATAGAAACAAGGTTTTGGGGGAAAAATTTTTAAAGCAACAAAAATATTCTTGCCCGCCCTGGGGGCCTCAGAGATGTGATTTTGGAACTGGGAAACTTAAAACTTATCTCGTGCACAAGAGGGTTAATTCGTCCTAATTTGGAGTACTGTCCCCCCCTATCTGGGGTGGTATTTCTTCTGTCCAACCGTTAGATAGAGCGGAATCAAAGCCATTTCATCTTATTAACTCTCCTCGTTTAGTCAATAATCTAGCTTACCTTTCTCTTCGCTGCAATGTTACTTCACTCTCTTTTTTACAGGTACTAACAGGCAATGTTCAGTGGATTTGGCATTCTTTGTACTGCTGGCAAGGCAGTGGGTTCATAATGCTTGCTTTGCCCGTGGTGCTCACCGTTTCTGTATGGATGTTAGTCACACTATAATTACCCATTATAGCATATACCTGTTTCTTCACACAGCCAAACTGTGGAATGCTTTGCCTTCTGTGTTTCCATCCTCTTACAATGCCTCACTTCAAAAAGCTGGTTTCCAGCATCTTCGTGGTGTAGATTAACATACCGATACTCTTTGTCTCCTCTATTTTTTTTTATTATTATTGTTTTTTATTTTTTTTTTTCCTCCCCTCCCCCAGGCTCTGTTGTGGGCTATTCCTCATTAAAAAAAATTGCTTCTGGAATTCAGTGTCAGCAATCCTGTCAAATCAAGTTAATCTAGTAGTAAATAATGTGTAAATTTTCCTTTCATTACTAAGACTTGCTTCCAACAATGCAACTGATCTCAACATTGTATATAAAAGATATAACCTTGTTTATATATCACTATTACTACTACTACCACCTAAATAATAACCTTCCATTACTCAATGACTACACCACAGTCACAGATCTTCACATCTCTAATATTGTTATGGTTTATAACAGAATCAATGAAGTGAAGTCCATATTCTACACGACCAAATGCTGCCTCTTCTATAACGCTTGCATCATCCTTGGTGTATATGCGGAAAAGAGAACTTGCCTTTTCCCTTTCATAGCTTCCAGCCACTAGTCCTGCACTGATGGGTAACCTCCTATTTTCTCTTGATTTGTCATGATATTTGGCCTCTATTTTTAATGAAGTTCCTCCACTACCATCTCCTTGGTCATAGTCACCTCCCCAGACATGTTCACCTGGAAGGCCCTTCCACCAAACACGGTGGAAATGGGAATTGCGGAAGGTAGGTCCCATCTCCCCAGTACACAGCTTCAGGAACTGCTGGCCCCTCACTGTGTCACCCATTAATCGGATGAATACTCGACCAAAATGTGAACCACCCCAAGAAAGGTCCAGGAATGTTAAAGCTGAGGCAGAGTCGATGCATAACATGGCAGCTTGTAGCTGTAAGTATCAAAAGACATTGCACATTTAATGTTAGAAGTGATAACTATTTTGCAATGTAAATTAAATTAAATATATATATAAAACTAATTTCTCCACCCTTACACCCTGGGTGACATACTAAGTTGCCAGACTAGCCACTGTTTAAATGCCCAGCATGGGTTATCAGGTTCTAGTGTGACTATTTGCCTGTCACACCACAAAATCGGCCACAGGGAAGCTTCCTAAATGTAAGTACCTACTTTTTTTGTGTTTCATTTTCATTGTTTGTCCATTTTATCATGTTGTATCAAAGTAATCTTCATTATACGACGAAAATTTACTGTATTACCACTCCCAACTGGTGTTTGACCGTGTTTCCCATTTTCAAGGAAAGATGTTCTCTCACCCACTGCATGCAATGTCAACAGTGGTTCTTCAGCTTCTTCAATTGCTTCTCTGCTAGACATTAGCACATCTGAATTCGAAGATCCTGTGCAACCAAATCTTAAAACTTTTTCTCTAATAAATAAAAGAAAGTTCAACATAGGATATCATAAGAAGTATAAGTGGCGAGAATATTCTCAACTACAGAACAGTGTTTATTGTTTTGCACGTCGACATTTCAGTAGTATAAGAAGAGGGGGAGCTTCATGGCAAATGAACATTTATTGATGTGGGATTTTCAAAATGGAAGGACTGTTCAGAATTATTTTAAAAACATGCTCTAAGTGAAAGGCATGAAAGTTCTTTGAGCTTGAACGTTGTAACTAGCAAAAGAGACACTTCAATCAAGAATAAGCTTTGTGCCAACAGGACAAATAAAATTAAGGAGAATAGAGAACATGCGAGATGTTTGTTATGCGTTACGAGCTTGCTTGGCAGACAAGGTTTGCCATTCTGTGGTCATGATGAAAGGGCAACATCTGTAAATAAAGGAAATTTTGTTGAGACTAAAAATGCTAGCTGACGCCAATGACATCCTGCAGAAAAAGATGCATAACAGATATGGCCACTACAAGTCTCCTGAATACCAAAATGATTTAATACAGGTGTTTGTCAACAAGATTTTGAGTGAACTATCTACACAGGTTAAGAAAGCAAAATATTTCTCGATATTAATGGACAAGACAAAAGATCAATCATGAAAAGAACAGTTAAACATAATTATCAGACATTTTGATGGTGAAGTGATTCAGGAGTACTGTTGTGGCACCTATCACATGTGAAATTTAGATGCAGAATCTCTAGATAACTTCATCATGAGAAGTTAGAGGAATTAGGGTTAGAGCTGACGGCATGCGTTGCGCAGTGTTACGATGGCGCGAGCGTTGCGAGTGGATGGCCGTCTGGCGTTCAAGCCCGTGTCAGAGAAAAAATCCCCCAAGCCACCTATATTCATTGTTATGCACACAGACTCAACCTGGTACTTATCCACATTATCAACAACCTTGAAGATTATGCGGAGTTCTTTTCAACTATCCAAACATTGTATAACTTCATCTCTAATAGTAATACAAGTATGAACTTTATGTTCAATAGCAAAAAGGGTTCGGACAGGAGGTATTAGAGTTAGAAAGAACTGTGACAACAGGATGGTTCTATTGGTACAGAAGTATTCGCAGAATTCACCTTCGTTATGAAACCATTCTTGCCATACTAACTTCTCTATCCGAGGTCAGTAATGAGGCATCTACGGAAGCCTCTGGACTGAAATAAAAAATGGAGTCCTGGAGTAAGTAGTTTGCCTTTTTATTTCTGAAAACTGTTCTTGCAAACAAATTCTCTGTCCGAGCAGCTTCAAGGAGGAGGTACGGTGATATCCCCGTTAGTTGGAACAATTGGTGCAGAGCACTTCCGGGAATAAGAGATTTCCGGGTAACGAGACGACTCTCTCAAAGCCGGAAAACAATCCCTCATCCCCAGAATTTTCCAGATAACATAAAATGTTCTCGGAAGTTCCAGAAATTGCCCATTACATCACCTCTCGAACCTGGAAAAATATCTCTTATTCCCACAATTTTCTGGGTCACGGAAAATTTCTCGGAATTTCCAGAAATGTGCCTGATTTTCATCTTTCAAACCTGGAAAAACTCTCCCCATCCCCGGAATTTTCCGGAAAATGTGCCCCTCGGAAAATCATTCCTAAAGCCAGAATTTTCCAGGAAATTCCGGCTTTGGGAAAGATTTTCCGAGAAAATTTCAATTCCGGCAATCAGATAGTTCCGGGTTTGATGGATTCCGGCTAACGGAGATATTACTTATTTATAGTTCGAGCTGTGGATCTCCTAATGGCCATGAAAGCAAACCTTGTTAAAATGAGATCTGATAGCGAATGTGATCAATTGTATGAGGAAGCAGAGGAGTTTGCACCCAAACACGGCATAGTTGTTCCAGAGGCAAACACTCAACAGCATGAAGGATCAGCTCATAGCAAAAGAGTGCAACGAATATCAAATACTTTGAAAGATTATCTATCAAACAGTGTCCTTGGTAAGAGTTCAAAACATCTAGAGAATGTTCAGAGAACAGAAAATGGTTAAATCGTTCGATACGGAAGAACTGGTTGATAATTTTGCTCGATTGAAGAACAGTTAATAGCCACTAGCTGTAGACTTATGTATGTCAAAGATGTATCCTATTCTGAATATTCTGATTTGCTCACTGATGATTTTCTTCACTACACCCACCTCTCGTTTCATGCAGGGGTTACATTCTTGAAAACCACCGCTTAATTTAAAAACGCGCAAATTAAACAATTTTCCCGTATGAATACATGTAAATGGTATACGTTAGGGGAACCATCATATACAGTACAGAGTAACTTACAATAAATATCTTTATCTTCTCAGCATTGTCTCGAATGGTACAAACAGTGCTCTCACTTAAACCGAGCACACGGCCAACCTCCACCATACGCTCTGCTCTCTGAAGGCGGGTCATCACATTTAATTTCACGTCCATTGCGATTGTTTTTCGTGCCGTTTTGGCTTTAGGCGCCCCGGAGGAGGCAGACGGACGTTTTCCAGACATGCTCAATGGGGAAAACAGCGTTTAACACTAAAATAGTACTGTACATGATAAACACACAATGCAAATGAAAGCACAGAGAGAAAGTAGTGCTGGTGTGAACTGAGAAAGCAATATGCGGGAAGCTTGCTGGACGTCATCACAGTTGTTTTACAGAATACATCATTATCTTCATCATTAGTAGCAACAATCTTTATTATTACATTATTATTATTATTATTATTAATAATATTAAAATCGTTGATGTTGATATGACTGCGACTTTATAGTAATAACTTACAAGCACCTCACCAGGCATCACACGCAACTCCACCTTTTGGTATTAATTGAACAATCGCGTTATTCCAAAAATGCTTAAATCAAACGCAAGTAAAATGCAAATTACCTGTATTTAATTCTGTCAATATATTAGCTGATACAATTATTTAGTCAATAATTCAAGAATTGTACTCTTGATATTGATAAAGAAAAGTTTGCTTTGCTGGTATCATTATCATCATCTTAATAAAATGAAAAAACATTATTGGATTTATTTATCACAGCCATTTTACTATATACTCTATTTAACAACAATTTTGTAATTAATTATGCAGTCACCACATCAAAGGTTTGCAAGGTCAATCCCAAATACTATGAAGCAGGATTTTGACCCCAAACTCTGAAACCCCCCCCCCCCTCATAAAATCCTGGATCAGCACGTTAATACTGTATTCACTCAATGCCAAACTCACCACCCTAAATGGTTAATCAACAAATGTGTACATTACAAAGCCCTTACCGGTATAGCCCGAGTCCCTGAAGGAGGAGTAAATTGCTTTAGAGAATGTAGAAGAATGCGGTCACCATCACATCCTAATTCAGAATAAACTTGGTTCTCCTTTCTAGTACATACAGCAAGGACTCCACTTGTTGACGCACTTCCAAATGAGGTGGAGTGCAGCAACACTATAGTGTGAAGTTGTTCCTGAAAAGAATGTACAGTTCAATACCTGAAGTTATCTATACAGTAATAATCAATCAATGCATGAGCAACCAACACAAAAGACACTGAGTGCAACTGTGGTACTGTAATGGATTTCTTTAGGCATCCTTTATCCTATCATGAAATGGTAAAATGAAAGGTTGTATTCTCTGTAAACTTGGCAATAATTATGTAATCCCAGCACTTTGAGAAAATGATACAACTGCATTTCATAAACAATTTGGGAAATGTGACTTTCTTATATGTAGCTAATAACAGAAAACAAGTAAAATAATGAATAAGTATAACAAAATAAAGATGAGCTAATATTGTTTTGACTAAAAAATAATTCAGCATTTATCTTACCTTTGATAATTTATTCGCTCTATCACTCAAGTGAGCAGAGTCAGAACTTGACACCCACTGTCGAGTGTTACTGATCGAACCGTCAATATCATGGAAAACTTTTAATGCATCATTTACAGTTTTCATTTCTGACAAGTCCTCTGTAACTGATTGTAAAAGTGCTTCTGCTAGATGACCGTCTGACAAAACTTTTTCAAGACGTTTTTGCTCCATTTTAATACAATCAAGAGTAATTTGTACTGTTGCTGAGCAGGACTCCAATTTATCACTATAATTTTTTATTTCACCCCAGGATTCCTTTAAGTTTTTGCGGGCAACTTCAGCCTTGTTTTTCTTGGCTTGTTTCATTTCAGATAATGTTTCTTTAAAAGGAGTAATAAGACATTCTATTCCTCGATGATCAATTCTGCAACATTCCATACACAGCCAAACCTGACAAAAGGCACAGTGACTTGCTATATCTGCCCCAGCCTCAAGACATTTACTTGAATGGGGGGAACATTCTTTTTGTTTGGGATGAGAGGAAGTCCTGTTAATAGCTCCAGTAACACTTGATGAATGACTTCCAGAAGGCTGCCCTCTTTCTCGTGAAGCTCTTGCATTTTCCTCAAGCATATGTATCAGTGCAAAGTTTGCGGGTATCTCTTCAGCAGTCTGTACCCCCTGGACCTTATAGCGGCATTGAGGGCAGGTTACCATTTTCCCCTTGATTAGATTTTTAATACAAGATGTACAGACAGAATGGCCACAAGGCAGGGCCCTTGGTCTATGACCTTCAGTGAGGTAGCTTGTATCACACACATCACACTTCATATTTCTGTGGAAAAAAATGTAAAACCTTAAAAACTATCACTTCATCACTACTTTTAGGAATACTACACCAAATGATTACAGTAATTGAAAGGATAAGAGAATTGGAATTCCCTACCTAAACTAAATCTATTTACTTTAATACTGTATTTCAATCAACAAGAGACACACTTGTACACTGACAGAACATGCCTTTAGTGAATGAAATAGAGCAGTGGTTCTTAACCTTTTTCAGTGCCCATACCCCTTGAGTTTTCATATTTTCTCACATCCCTTGACAAAAATAAGTCTTAGAATTAGATTATTAGATGTATAACGCTTTATTTTCACAGCATAACCACACACAGAGGTGAAGTGGCACAACAACACAGGAGTGGCTAAGAACTTAGATTTAATAAATGGTACAGCCAATCATACATAGTACTGTACCTGTATTTGCTTAAAAGTCATTAAGTAGGTTAGAGTGCAAATACTGTACATAGCTTTATTACAGTAGTGGCGTACAACCATACTACACACTGGCACAGTCTTAGTTAGTGTCTCTTTGTTCTTGCCTTTGAGCAATGATTTTCGTGAAATGAGGTTCTTTCTTTGTAATGGCCACACGCATGTCACCACATGGTTTCTGGCCTTATTTTGATGTGTAGGAGTGTTAACAAACCTGCCTTGCACAATCAGGTGATCGCAAATGGTATGAGGACCTCCAGAGTTCTCTTTGCCAACTGTGGGAACGTTTTAAGCCGAACAATGACATACCAGAAGATGCCTAGCTGCATTGATTCAAATTCCATTCAGACTTTTTTATTGGTTTTTAAAAAGATCATCTTTCATTATATCAATGTCATCCATGGAACCCAGGTTGAAAAAAAATGGAACCTCTCCATGCTAAAAGTAACCTTGGAAAGACTGAATCGTGAAAAATATATAATAGTGAATCAGCCAGCATGTTTCGCACTTTAAAGGGTTGCGTGCACCCCAGGTTAAGAACCACTGTACCAGGGTAATGTAGCTACTTTAAAAATCTGTAAGCTATCATTAACCAAAAAATGCTTCAGAAAATAGATAATTATTTATGCTCACTTTTTCTGTATTATTATTTTTACAGTGTACAAATGAAGAGCCACAAATAAAAATTTCACGCATTACAGATGATAATTTCTTTTTCATGCAGCATAGGAAAAAAAATGAAAGGTATAATAGTAAAGGGTAAGGGTCCAGGTTAACCAGCTGCCTAATGAAACATTTCTCTACTGTATTAGAGAGCTTTATTTTCTTAATAATACTCGACAAAAAGCAAATTGGGTGGGAGCCTAACACTTTTCTTATTCCATTATTATTTTGTCTAGCTTTTCCCATAAATTAAGATGCTTCAGGCCACTTATCTATAGACAATGCCATGTTTGTTTCTTGCCCTTTACCCAGCTTTTTAAGTGCACAGGAGGAGGAACACTTTATAAATATAAATACATCTCCATTTCATACAAAATAATTAAGAACATCAGTAACTTTAGAAATTTTTTGAATAAACGATGGTGATACAATATTATTTTCAGTAAAGAATAAAAAATAAATAAAGGTGTACAATTTTGTAATAATATTAGTGACCAAGCTAAGCATCACAGGTTCCTTCGCATACTCTAGTTTCCTCCTGTATTAACATTGGATGATAAAGCTCATAATAAAGTAACTATGAGCAGACTGCTTGAACAGTTAGAAAGCTGAAAAGAGGTGAATGATAAATTAAACAAATTATATTAGAATAGGCAAAGTGAAATTCCTCCACCCAATTTGGTTTATTCTTGAGGCAAGAAATAAGTTTTCAACATACATTTTTTCATTAAGTATTGTTGCTGGTTAACCCAGACCTCTACTTTACTATCACTAAACAACAAAGGATTAACAGCAAAGACAAGAGAAGGACTTTAGCAGCTGGACACCACTTTCTTAAAGAAAAACTAATTCCCATCCCATCCCATCTGGCATTGTACGTATATAGTGAGAAAAGAATGTACAGTACAGTACTGTACATTTAAGTATTGTACAGTTTTCAACTCGTATTTTTGGGGCGATTTAGGGGATTTTTAGGAGTGTTTCTGACTACTATATGGTTTTTGGCTGTATGTGAGGTCCCAGGAACATATACCCACTTAAGTTGTGAGTCTACTGTAAATAAATTTATCACTACCGGTATATATTGGAAAATGTTGATAATTTTGATAGTCATGATAAATTCAAAATATTTCCTGCCCAGTTTCCCCCGCGAACTCTTACGAAATAAAAAATTTATCCTATATACCATACCTGTATAGGAAAACGCTGATAAATTTGTTAGCCGCGATATAAAAAAATTGTTATACAGTATAAAGTCGCTATATAGCGTGACACTACAGTACAGTATTTTTTGTCGTCACTTATTTATTCCTCACATTTACTGGTACTGTATATATTATTTTAAGAAAACTACGGCTAAAGGAGCAAAATACATACAGTACAAAGGTTTTTTCCTAAATACAAGTATACAGTACTGTACTACCTGCCTTAAAATATGGTACTGTATTGTACTTAGTATCCATAAGGGTGGTGAAAAGGTTAAGTCTAGGGCTTTATCAGTGAACTAAAAGAATGTGTACAGTACTTTGTGTACTTTACTTTTTGTATTAATTTTTATTAAAAAACACGTATTTATTTCATAAAAATTGGATACATTGGTGTTGTACTAATTTCTTTTTTAAATGGCATTCCTTTCAGAAAAAAATTGCTCTAAGGTGTAAAACCTCCTATCATAGAACACGCCCCAATTAGTCTGTCTGCCTTAAAGAGATTTTACTGTACTTCAAACTTAAAACTCAAGAGACTACAGTACAGTACTGAACAGTAATCTCACCTTCCCTACAATGGAAATGTATAGAGATCTAAAGAAATAAGTTTAAGTTACTAAAAACGGTTAACACTCAAAGTTTAAATCCACAGAAAGAATAATATCTTTTACAATTTAAATTCCATTATATCTGTCATTGAAGACATTCTTAAAATCAAAGGAAACATAAGTTCTACAAGCACCATTCTGTGACCATTACCTCCACTATATGATGATTTGTTACAATGATAAACTGTATGCTTTTATATTTATAGTATTTATACTTTACAACAGGTATCAAGCCCCCCCCCAAAAAAAAAAAAAAAAAAACCAGATTTCTGTTTAAGTGACCAGAAGCCAACAGATAAAAAATTTGGATGTGTAGTACAGTACAGGTATAACTAAATACTGTACTGAACTTATGATAGTCATTTTTAAACTCAATTTCGATGGCTACAGCAGAGATCCACATTCAGCTTGAGGTAATATACTACTGTATACCGGAATATCATACAATTCATCCGATTGGTTTCCAACTGTAGGACTTTTCATTTAACTACACCTTTCACTGCAAACAGAAGCCTCCTGGTGAACAGTTGTGCTATTCAATTCCAAAAACAAGAAACATTACATCTTCCATTTAGCATAAAGACAAAACTATCTGGTCTACCATCTCATATGTGACATTCTCATCTCAAAAATTTAATTACTGTATGCTGCATGTTCTATATACATACAGTACCGAGATACTGGACGGGGTTATTTGTAAGTGCAGTTTAGGGCAACTGCACAATTATTGACCTGAGAAGAGGGTTTTTTTTTCTAATTCTTTAACATATCTATAATCTGTTCACTTATACCATGTAGCAAGGCAGCTGATTGGCTGACAGACATGGGAAAAGTCACAATAGTTCTTTAGTATACTGTATAATGTAGGGTACTGTATATATTTATAGCCTTATATTTTAAGATAATAACTACAGTATTTTCTGTGTTATCTCTGATAATTTTTTACTTGCGGAAGCAAAATTAGCATAATAAATCCTCTGGTATGTGTTCTTTTCTATGTCACTAGAGCATTTCACATACTAATTTTTCCTCCAAGTGTGAAAATTATCAGATAACACAGAATACAGTACAGTATCAGAATATATATATGATATATCAAATACTTAATAACTGTGGTGACTTTTCTCATGTCCATCTGCCAGCCAATCAGCTGCCTTTCTACAAACTGACCCTAGGCCTTAGTTGCAAGATTCGAGTGAACAAATTATAGGCATTTAATTATATTAACCAATTATTTTAAACAGTTGTAGTCACCACTGAAAACTGGAGATCACTGTACTTCACAATAATGTGCAGTACAGTATATATGGTACAATTTACTGTTCCTACAAGTAGCATTTACTGTATTGGAATTTTGTGTGTGCATAAAATTTATTAACATGTGTACAATGAAATAGAAACGGTTTAGCCTGCACCATATAGTTCACCGGACGCTACAACAGACAGACCCACAGCTCAATCTAAGCTGAATTGTGTTTTGGTTCGACTGAACATTTGCTCAGCCCAGCCTGAACCTTTGAGGGAAATTTCCCAGTGTAATTGCAGCCAAGTCACATCAACCCAACAGCCTGGTGATACAGTACAACATATACGTCAGCAATAAAAAATGCAGCACAGATGCCAAATGTCACATGCCAGATACGTGATCAAGGGTGTCTTGGACCTTAATTAGTCTTTATTTAATATTAATACAACAATGGTAATCAATTTTCATATTTACTTACTGTGTTTTAGTATATTCCTTTGCTGTAACTGGCTCAGAGCTGGCACCCACATAATGCTGACCATGGAAGTGCCCACTGTTATTACCTTTCTGTCTGTTTTCTTTAGAACTAGATTTTCCGTAACTGTCGTGCCAATAATCATTGTGGTGATACCCTGGAGTATATTCTTGGCGGCAACAAGCACCTTGATTTGGTCGAGGATTATTCTGATTATGATGTTGATTACCACCTTGCTCATAATTTCTGCTGTTTCCTCTTGAACCCAAATCACCATGACTCACTTCCTGTGGTTTGGAAAGAGATGGAGGTTGTGTACTATGAGTGGTGTGATGTCCACTGTTTGCCGTTGCTTGTTCATGGCCACCAGAATTACCAAAATTTTCTTGATTTCTCTGACCCTTCTTTTTCTTCTTATTTTTGGCCATTGTTACCTAACTTATGGGAATTTTACGAAGTTATGGAAGTGCTATTTTCCTGAGCCCCACACGTGCTTCAGCCACTGAAAATGTTACAAAACACCAGTTACTTCTATCTCCTCTTTTTGTGTATTGTCAGTTAACACATAATGTTATGAAGTCCAACCGTTCCACAGAAATATATCAAATTAAAAAATCTCCCTTGGAAGAAATCATTACACATACTGTAGCTCTATATGTAATCTTAAAGAGCAGGCAGGCAGTTACAGATGTTTAATGTTTTCTTGATAATACAGGTACAGCATAGGTTACTGTGGACTTGGTGGTGCTCAATGAGCATGAGTTCCTGAAGTAACATTTATGTCCACTAAAGTGGTGTTGAAATCAAGTTAAGGTTATAGTCGGTCCATGCTAACCTGGCCCATAAGCCACGCCCCTCTTCTACAAAAATGGCTGATTGGTTAAAAGAAAATGTTCGTGTAGCTGTCCATTTATTCAAACTAAATACTGCATGTTCATAATTGGTTAGCAGCCCGGTTCTCTAAAATAATATTAAATATATGGACTATCAAACTGTAAATGGTTTCAAGGCATTAGCACTTTAGAGAGGGTGTTAGAAAATTTTAAATATTTATCATAGAAGGTCCAAGTCAGAGATGAAATTCACTTTCGAATTGATTCTTTTCATTATATCTTTGTTTTGTACCAAACATAAAGCAAACAGAAACAAATGATACCAAAAATATAGTACAATAGGTAATGAACTACAGTTTGTATGGCTAGATATATCCCAAATCATTTATATAACTGGTAAAACTCTATATAAATACGTGCAGTCCGGGGAGAGGTAAAACGCTCAGGGGAATAGCCACGTGACTTGGCGGGAATTTCACTCGTCCCGACACACAACAACCAGCAGATCTCAACTCTCAACAGATGTCAGCACTGTAATACTTAACCAACAAAAACATTTCTCACATCCACGAGCAAATTATTAAATAATTTATCCATTAACTTGGCATTCCCCATCTTAAATGCTGCATTGTGACAAGATATAAGTAATAATATATGCTACGTATTATTAAGAAGCGATGTAGAGGTTTTACATTTTCATCCTCCGTCATCAATTATCAAGAAATTAGGTGCAAATGAATGAAAATCTCGGTCAATGATGGACGAGCTCTACCATATTGGCAGTATGAGTCAACTGTCCAGTTGATCTGTTACTATTAGCTGATCACCCAGTCGATGTGGCCGCGAAGTCCAGTGGCTGTTCCCCCGAACGTTTTACCTCCCCCTGGACTGCAAGTATTTATATCGAGTTTTACCAGTTATATACAGTGGGGTATGCTATAACGAATCTAATTGGTTCTAGAACCTTGTTCGTTATAGCATTCGTTCGTTATAGGATTAATCCGTTCCAGGCCCCCAAATACAACCACTTAACACTGAAAAATATAATATAAAATTGTAAAAATCGTAAAAAAGTGCATAAATATGCATCTAAACCCCTGAAATAAAGAATATCATTAATACTTGTAATAAAAAACAATAAATTAGTAAAAAAAAAAAAAAATATTATTTAAAATAATGTTCATTGTAGGAGTTTCGTTCGTTATAGCATTCTCAATTTTATAGGTAAAACCGTTCGTTATAGGAATATTCGTAGTAGGATCCGTTCGTTATAGCATACCCCACTGTACAGTAAATGATTTGGGGATGCATCCAGCCCTACTTTACCTTTAAAGACATTGTTGGATTTATAGTTATACTAACTTCGCCCATCTTACTAACCCTTCTTAACCAGTATCTACTAGTAGGTCCTGTTAACTTTGTCCCAGCCAATCCCCTAGTCACACTGGCCCACATTCAACCTGAATGATACTTCCTGTTCGCCTGCGTCATCTTATGCTCAATCCCCGACAAATTAGGGGGAGTTATTGGCCTTGCTATATCAATCATGGTTCTAATAATCCTACCCTTTACATGTATCTCTAAGTTTTGAAGGCTAACATTCTACCCACTAAAGCATATTTTTTTATCCCCAACCGCTGTGGTAATCCTACTAACTTGAATCGGCGCACGACCTGTTGAGGATCACAGATCAAATTTTAACTGTGGTGTATTTCCTTTACTACCTTACCAACCTTCTTATACTACTATATGTGATAAAGTTCTTGACCGGTAGTTTAGCTTATATAAAACAGATGTTTTGAAAAATTCAATAAGAACACTAAAATGTCGTAACTACCATACCGGCTTTCAATATACCGTACTAAATTAGTTACAAATTCATAAGACAGTAACACAGTAACAACAATGCAAACAGCCTACTCATAAAGAAAATTCTTGCATACTCAGCCATAAAAATCAACGTGAAACCTCCTCCTCTATACTCAGTATTAAAACCAGACACTAATAGGCTAGGGAAAATATTGAAAGACCCATTACAAATTGCAATAGTAATTATTTTAATGTTATTCAACTTAGACACATGACTCAAATAAAATAGTGAAAGTATAATGGAATAAAAAAAATGGGTACACTGTCTAAAATGCATAAACTCAAAATGGCCATCAAATAACCGAGTTATACCTGGTGGAGGCTGACTTTATCAACATATTTGTTTTGTGTTGAATGGTTGACATGTTTTCATTTCCAGATATGGTTTAAGAATGATACTGTATATCATTAGGGCTCACCATTTCTTGTAGGCATATCACTCACGGTTACTGACAAGAGTACATCTCTTTTAACAGATTGAGTCATGATGGATGAAGAAGAGCTCAGGTGTGTATTGTGTCAGAAGGCCATATCTTCAGACCAGCTAAGATATAAACTAACACAAAAAGGTTGCGATGGCATCAACAAAGCAAGTGAGGTAAGGCATGATGACATTTGTGCTATTCCTGTACCCAAATGTAGCCGCAATGAAGTCAAATAATGGTCCTACATGAATAAATCGGACTGCTAATCACTTCTCGACTAGTATTTGGTGTCACAAAGTCACAAAAAATTGGAGAACTTACTTTAATCTGAGTTAATAGATCGCGTGCATGTACCGAGGGAGCGAGTAATTACCCAAATGTAGCCGCAATGAAGTCAAATGATGGTCATACAAGCGTAATTCGGGCTGTGAACCACTTCTCGATTATTATTTGGTGTCATAAAGTAAAAAAAAATTGGTAAACTTAATTTAATCTGAGTTGTGTTAGGTTAGGTTAGATTAGGTTAGGTACATGCACTTGATCTATTAACTCAGATTAAATTAAGTTTACCAATTTTTTGTGACTTTGTGACACCAAATACTAGTCGAGAAGTGATTGGCAGTCCAAGTTATTCATTTAGGACCATTATTAGACTTCATTGCGACGACATTTGGGTAATTCCTCGCTCCCTCGGTACATGCACGCGATCTATTAACTCAGATTAAAGTAAGTTTTCCAATTTTTTTTGACTTTGTGACACCAAATACTTGTCGAGAAGTGATTAGTAGTCCGATTTATTCATGTAGGACCATTATTTGACTTCATTCCGGCTATATTTGGGTAATTAGTCGGACCCGGTGGAAGAGCTGTGCCCACATTGTGATATAGATTATATTACGCCAATCACCGAGTTTCATCGGAAAAATAGTGAAGCAATTTTTTTTTTTTTAGAAAACACGGTGTATTACCGAACGTTATTTGTCCAGAGCATAATAATCAGTGTACACTGCGTGAAGAACTACACATTTGGTGGTGTCATCACAGTTTTCTTCAGCCGAACAGTATGAAACTAGAGTTGCAACCCTGGTTTGGTTGGTTGGTATTTTATTTATGTGATTTACAAAAAATTAAATAAAAAATACAACTTCTTTCCCTAAGATTGTTGGGTCTTAAAAAAAGTGATTTCCGGCGGAAATGAATATCAAATTCGTTGGAAACTCATCAAATACCTTGGGAAAAACATTTTTAATATCCAAAGAACGGTGCTTTTCTATAAATTTACCGGTAATTTTAATGATTAAAATACTCGAAAAAATATAAATTTCCGACGGAAATGCCATTGAAGAAAAGTGTCTTGGAATTGTCTGAACTATGCGAAAAAACGTATTTTGAATAAAGAAATTCCTGCAAGAAATTCCTGTGTTTAGTAAGTGGTTTTCGGTTTTTAGTATGTGTTGGTGTTCAGGTGAGGGCTCCATGAACCTCCCCTGTCACGGGAGGTAAGGGGCGAGATGAAAATAAATTGGGGTAAATTTTTACAAGTGGACAACCATCGATTTTTTGTTGAGCAATGTGATTTTCCGATGGTTTAGACAATGTTAGGACACTTCTTCTGTGACGATTCCCTCGCAAATGACTTAAATATTCCAGCCCGGTTAGGATGTTAGGTTAATTTTAAGTCATTAGAGAGGGAAATGTCATAGAAGAAAAGTGCCTTAACATTGTCTAAACCATTGGAAAAACGCATTGCTCAAAAAAAATCCATGGTAGTCCACTTGTAAAAATTAACCTAAATCTCTAAGTGTCAGCATTAAATGATTACGCATATACTTCAAATTTTTCACGAAATTCATAATTCTAAATACACCACCCCCACTCCATGGGAGGTCTATTATTATTTTCGGCACACACAACTAAACTCAGTACAGACTTTATAACACTTGTCCGAGGTGCAATTGTTTGACTCGTTATACACACTCACCAGTACCGTGTTTTTCTTTCCGCGTATCACTCAATAATAAAGTACTTTATCACGAGAATGACTTGAAACCACGACGACGAAGTGCGTGAATGGTGACTCAGTGAATGAGGCCTGAGGAAGTAGGTGAAAGAGTCCGCCCCAAGGAGCCAGTCAGCCAGTCTATCCTGATCAACACATGTACAGTCTGCACCCGTGTGTGAGAAGTACCAACACTTAGTTTCATTCGATTTTTCTTGTTTAATTCAACTACGTCTTTATAATTATCCACTGGATTTCTAATTTCAACATTTTTCGTCATTCTTAAAAATTGTATACATAAAAATCTGAATATATATCATTCATAACGTAATATATTCAATAAAGAAACCACAACAAAGATATGACCTTAGTAACACTTCTGCATAAGCGTGGCGCAATAACATCGACCAATGAGAACTCGAGAAACGCCCCTTCCTGCATGCCGGAGCCAATAAGATTAGTTTTTATTATTGGAGGCTAGGCGCGTGAATATACTTGTGTTACGAACTTAGGAAAGTTACGAGTACCACGTTGCTACGAGACGTCAAGAAAACACCTGTACAGATCTGCTGACAACCTGACTTGTCGGGGCAACAATTATGTCATGCATTTAAAGAAGCTGCATCTACCCTGTATAATTAGGTTCCATGACAAAACCCCAACGAGGTTGTCATTTGTCAACACTAACCTAACCTAACCTAAGCTTATTAGTGTATTATTTTATATTTTATATATGAGACAGGGATTTTATCCGTTAGGGTTTTATCCGGTCACCGTATAATTATGGTGTGTTCAATATCAGCTACTGAATAAATTTTCTACAGATAGATACTTCTATGATTAAACTTTGAAGAAATAGATGATATGCGTTGAATTGAATTGAAACAGTTTATTTAGCCAGAAAAACAGAGATATACAGTGGATAATAATGCAATATTAACACGGCTGAGTCAATTGAGAACCTGAGCTCCTTTTCTTAGGCACCTGATATATACTATACATACATTTATCCATTATTTAACCCACAAAAAAACAACATACGGTTAGGTGTGTGCTTACACCGTAACACGACATAGCAATTCAACTAACATGAGAATATAAACAACACCAGTACTACGAAAATAACAAAATAGTATTAAAGCACCAAGGACATCATTAACAACGCAATACAATACAGGAAGTGTACTTGAATATTATACAGTAAACACATGCCCGCAATACAAACGTACAATAGTAACACTAGCATTCATTTACCTTACCTTACCTGTTAAGATATATTAGATTAAGTTAGGTTAGGTAGACTGCATACTATAGTAGCACCCAAAATAGACAGCCCAACAATAATACATAACAACAGTAACACAATATATAATAGCCTCAAGAGTAATACCAGCAACATTTTACGTTGTGGGGTAAGGGATTGTTTGGTGTTCACTCAGGAAGGGTTGGCGAAAGGAAACTCATAATGTGCTCTCTGTATACATGTTGTATTGGATGTACAATGCAGCTTGGTGCTGGGAAGGCAGCATGGTTACAAGCGTGATGTAGAGAGAGCTGGTTGGTGAGGATGCTCAGAGGAGGACCAGACTGTGGGTCGCCATGCTCGCCGACGGGAGCGAGGACCGCCAGGCAGGCGGAGGAGGAGGTGTTGCTGGCTGCGGCTGTAGGTAGAAAGAGAGAGATCACCACGAGGTCAGGTCTTAAATAGCGGGGGTTGGCGTGGCTTAGAAGTTGACCCCCGCTCCGTGGTGTAAGGCGGCGCTGGTTGACCTAGACCACGAGGCATACACTGGGGAATTCGTGGGGTCGACTATACAGCGACAAACATCGTTTGTAGGGGAGGAATCCACTACAACGTAATAGAAATGTATAGGAGACGTACCGTTCCCTAGACAAAACTTGTGAATTAATAATAATAGCTTTTTGGTACAAAGATAATTTCCTGTTTGATAAGCAATTAACAGTCCTGATGATATAATGTTTTCAAGGTTATATCCTAATTCATCTGTACAGGGTGCTCATAACGGTCATAGTATATAATACCTAATACTTTGGTATATTCTACTGACAACTTGACGACGCTGAGTCCCTGTAAGGGTGATGCAGCTCATCTCCAGCTTTGCCAGGAGAAGATCAAGGCGTGGAATGGCCACCGTTCTCTTGTAGTATTCAGCCGGTCCATCAGCTGACGTGTTGTCTCGGTGTCGTTTGCAGAGTCTTGGGCATGGAAAGTTTAAAACCTACAGCCCCACACAGCTGTGCTGCCTGACGAAACCATTCAGTGTAGTGATCATCCATGTTTTTTTCGGACGTCTTGTAGTGCTGTTTTCATACAGTCAATTTCGCTGCTGGCCTCAACTATGCCCTTGGCCTGTGCTTGAAGGCTAGTGGTCACACCTTTCAGGTAGCCGAGTGCATCGTTGGTGATCAGAAACACAGTGAAGTCTGTGCTGGTGATGGCGAGCAGCAGGGCCTGGGCATCAGTCAGTGAGTCTGTAGACCAGCTGCCAGGACCACCCTCCACAATGTCCTCCATGCTGGCCACCACCGAGGGATGTAACTCCACAAAGGTTCTAGGGCATCTTGGCGTTGCACCCAACGTGTACGACACAGGTTTTTCAGCTTGTGTTTCTTGATTCAGGTTGGGTCTGTTGGACAGTTGCTTCAAAGGCATGTGCACGTTTGGGATGCTCTTCCATGAAAGTTGAGATCCCGTTCATGGTGCCCATCATGTTCCTGACACCGGAGATCTGGATGGATTTAACAACAACCAGGTTGAAGGCATGTGATGTCTTGGCAAAGGGCCAGGGGGCTGGTCTCCTTAATAATAGCTGCTGTCCCCTTGTTGCTACCAGCCCTGTTGCCAACTCCATCATAGGCCTGAGGTGAGGACACAGGCGAGGTCAAGTTCCTGTCCAAGGGGGGTTTCCGGGCAACCAGGAAACCCCCCTTGGGTGCACCTTGTGTGCAAAATAATAAAAATGTGTTACACACTATGTATATATTCAGCTTAATAAATTCAGGCATTTTATGCTTCTGCAAATTAAATATGCCCCTGAATCCATCTAGATAGAACTTTCTCAAGCGTAGTCTAGTAGGCCTATGTCGGTTCTTCACCTAGCTCAAATATTTGGAATTTGGAAACCCCGTAAAAAATCAGAGTGTGCCCCTGTCATTCTCAGAACAAGCTATAATTATCTTTTCTTCCACTCATCCATGCCCATCTTTTTAATTTAGCACATGTTTCATCCTCAGACCTTTCTGTTTCGCTGCTAACTCAATTATGGACTGGTGTGTGTGTGTGGCAACAAAAACTTTAGAATCACAGCATATCCCTGTATGGAAATTTTTATGTTGTTTGGTTACTGTGGAGGCACCCTTGTCTTACTGATTTTTCAGTCCTAAATTTTCATACAACACTTAACCCAGTTTACATAAATATTGTTTATGCCTAATTTTTCCATTAACTTTAATACAAATTTGATGTCAACTCAGTCAATGCTTTTGACGAATCCAAGTTTATTATGACACATTTTTTTTGTACTTGCTACTGGGAAATTGCACCACATCTCTTATCATAATATTGCAATCTATAATTGACCTTCCTTTAATACAACAGTATTGCAGTATTGGTCTTTTGACGATGTTTAATTTAATAAAGGTTTAATTCTGTTGGCCAATATTTTTGCGACTATTTTATAATCTACATTTAGGGGGGTTATTGGTCTCCAGTTTTCAATTAAATTCAGATTACCTTTCATGGATTTATGCGGAGGCAGATATAGATATGTGCGTTTCAAATTTTTCTTGCCGTAGAGTACTGTAGTGGACGTCTCCCCTACAACTGCGTAGCTGCAGGCCACCTGCGACGTCTTCCCTAGCAACCAAATGAGCGGCGTCACCAGATGCCGCAGTATCCTAGCAACGGAGCCAAAGACCGGCGACTTTCTCGGGTTTTCCCACCATGACTCATAGATGACTCACGGCTGCTGGGTATATAAGATCTGTCTCTTCATTGAGATTCATTCTGGCCTCTCTTCCTGAACAAGCAACACCTCCTCCTCCGCCGCTGCCTGGCGGCCCTCGCTTCTCCTCCGCCTGCCTGGGGTCCTCGCTCCCGCCAGCGAGCATGGCGACCCACCAGCTGTCCTTCTCTGAGCTTCCTCACCAACCAGCTCTCATTCTGCTCTCGGTTCCTGAACACGCAACACCTCCTCCAGCAAGCTCCTCGCTGTCCAGCTTTCATTCAACCAGGAGGCCAGCAACAGGCAACATCTTCTCTAACGAAGCTCCTGCACATCTACCTCCTTCAACACGCTACTCACCGAATGTGTCTACTGAGCAGCTCCTCACCACAATGCACCTCCAGCACCAGACTGTCTATCATATAACTTATATTATACAAGAAAACCACCTTAGAGTTTCTATCCATCCTGAGTGCTAGACAACATTATACCACGAAACCCTACAGTACCTTCACACTGGTTACTCACCCAGGATATTATAGATGGTCTTTGATTATGGTGTATCACTACGTAGAAATTCACTCCACCACCCGACATTCCATGTGATTTATACTTGATAAAATTAATGATGATTTAATGAATTCCATTAATTTCCAACATCCATCTAAGTTATTGGTTATACTTTGTCATAACCAATCGGTCATTACCTTTAGAAATAATAAGATAGGGATCACACATACGGGCAAATAAATTCCACTTACAATAGTAACAGAACGGTAACACCACACAGCGACATAAGTTAGTTACACTTCACAACAGCATAACAGTAACAACACAGCACCATAACAGTAGCAAAACACGACAATAAAATGCGTAATTGCATGATACACCTGTGGGTTGCGATTGTTAACATAATTATCGAGTATGTATAGGCTTACCACGTCATCATACCTATTGTCATTAGTGTCCTGATAACATTACGCTCGATGCCTGGCAAAACAACGAACAAACCTCTCTGATAATGTATTTTTTTATTATCTGTTATTCTAATATGGTTATAGTCAGTGAAAATAAAAAAATTATTTCTTGATCTTGATATTCACGCTTGTAAGAATATTACCGGACAGGGACATCTATCATCTCTCTACCTGCTCCAATTAATATACAGTAATTATATTGTCACATTTACCAGTTTTAATATAATATGTTCTTAGAACTAACCTTTATCAGGCTGGAAATTATAGTTGCTGGGGAGTTTATGAAAGGTGTTGATACAATGATTTTTTGGCGTTTCGAGAGCTGCAGGGTATCGTTGTTTATCCTGGGGAAGACAAGCATCAAGGTCAGCGGCAACACTAATCCATAACATTTGTTTTGGTGGTTGTTGTCAGGCTAAATAAGCTTGCCATCCACTCCAAGGTTAAATCAAATAAAATGTCAACACATGTGAATTAACTAAGTACTGTACAGTAGCTGTGTAGATGTCGCTCATCGATGCGCATACTATACCAACAGTAGAGGAGCAATTCATAATAGAATTACTGCTAGTACGTACAGTCACATTTCGATATTCTTTTCTACGTTATTTTTCTTTAACAACTGTTTGGCATTGAATGTAGATCTTCCTAAGGCAGGTGGAGTCTGATAATCAGTCCATAGTTACATACTATTATACTACTAATTAACGCTCATATGTGGGAGGCGGTCACCCTGCCTGGTTATACCTTCACACTCTGGGACCTCCGATTGTAGTACAAAAGCCCCAATAGGTTAAAAGCCTCTAAGGGCAAATAATATATATTTTTTTAATAATTATTTTTATTCTTTATTACTTACAGTTTACAGTTTAACACCCCTCTGACATGTAAATTATTACATTTATTATATCATAAGACTGCAAAACCTAACTTAACATAACCTAACCTAATGGGTCTTCGTTGTAATGGAGTTTAGTTTTAATGGGACTTAGTTCTGTTGTGACTCACACCTACCATCTTGTTGAGCAGGTAGTGGCCTATATGAACCACACGCTCGTCACAGCATTTGATGTCACACCACTTGTTGCAAAATATGTTAGTGCACTGTGACACTTGCTCACAACATGTGATGCTTGGCAGTTTGGGCAGTGCTTTTATTTTTGCTCTGGCGGCTTCACATGCGTTAGCATTATCATCGAACAGATAACAAGATTAGATTAGTTTGCCCCGGAGGGGGCTAGTTTATTGGGCACCCCTTACTTCCTGTGCAAGGTGAAGCGCAGAAGCGTTTACAGGGCCCATCTGGGAAGCATGCGGAGTTCATGCTTGCCTTTTTGACTCGTGTATTAAAGGCGTAAAAGCCTGAAGGGCCATGGGTTTTGTCAGCAAGTTACATAAAGTGACAGAATGATGAGTGTGTGGGGGGGAAATTTCCCGGTACAATTTATTTGTTTATGACAAAGCGTGGCAGGTCCCTAATAATGTCAAGTGCCAGGCCATAGCCATAGGCATTGATAATATTGAGGGACATACCTTTTAGTGTGATTGTGATGGCGTGTACGTCGGTAGTGTCGGCTTCAAGGGGGACGTCGAGAGATTGGTAGGGGACGTCCTTCTTGGCGTAGATACGTAGTCCACTAGCATGTCCGCAGGGTGGTCAATTGATGTGGAGAACTGGAGTGGATGGGCCCCAGGTGCCAGCATGCTGGTGGGGGACGGGGAGCCGGGGGTGGTGTCCTCGGGTCCATAAGCGCGCGGTGGGTGGACGGGGCAGGCTCGGTGTGGACGCCAGCAGTGGTGCCAGGCGGCGGTGGAGTAGGCCGTGAGCATGAGGGGCACACAATGGGGCTACCAGGTTGTGTGACTGGGTAGCAGGTGGAGGCAGAGGTAGTCTGTGTAGGTTGGAGATGGCAGTACAGAGTGTGTCAAAGAGTCTTTCAATACGGTTGGTAAATTCGTGGAAGAGGGATATGATCTGTGTCGTGTCACCGGAGGGAGGTTGTGGGGGGGCACCCGTGGGGGCACAAGGTCTGACAGCGTCAGAGTAGAGACGGAGAGGAGGCCCAGTTGTAGTTGAGTTAGGAGACGGCCGGGACTGCTGTGTTGCAGCCAAGTGAGGCTAGGCAGGGGCAGGTGTTGTTGAAGAAGGCTCGGTACGCTGGGGGAGAGGTTGAGATAGACGCAGCCTTCGGGGAGGCTTTTCTCCTGGGACAGGCGGACGTTTGGGGCATTGTGCCAGCCACCACAATTACAACACCTGGGGTCAACAACATAGCCCACACCACCCCCATTGAGGTGGGCTTTGATTTTTTGGTCACAGATGGAGGAGTGATGGTTACGTGAACAGAAGCGACATCTGGGGACATCTGGGACGATCACGTCGGCAGCAGGCGGTGAAGGTGTGACCCCAATGGGAGTAGATGACACAAAAAGCAGGCCCAGGGTGATATGGTTCAGCGTACGGGGGGGGGGGAGGAGACTGGGTGAGCATCAACAGTGGTTGGGCACTCCCTCCCCTTCCATTTAACTATGACAGCTGCTTGTGGGGTCGACGTACACTGAGTATTCATGGATTAAAGTTAGGAGCATCTTCGACTTCAGCGTATAGGGGGAACTGTTTAACTAGGATGTGGCGAATCGAATCGAAGAATACTAGTGACAGGGGGGAAGGAGGTTCAGGGGAAGAATAAAGGGAGGATTGAAGTGAATTTTAGTTCATGAACTATGCGGCGGTCGACAAAGTTAAGAAACCCAGAAATTCAAGATGGTTAGGTCAAACGACGAGCAAGACAGGAGGGTGTATGCAAGAGCCAGGAACCGAGCAAAGTCAGAGTGTAGAAGGGCTGGAAAGGAGTTCCAGAGGCTGGTTTCAAGCAAGGTCAAGTCAAACCCAAAGGCGTATTACCGCTATGCAAAGTCGAAATTAAAAACGCTAGTAGGAGTATCGGACCTGAGGCTTGAAGATGGTAGTTACACAGATACTGACCAGGGCAAAGCTGAGGCATTGAACAGCTTCTTTTCCTCGGTGTTCACAAGAGAGGATGCGAACAATCTTCCTGTGTTTGAGGACAGACGGTACGACACAGCACTGACCCACATTGTGTTCACAGAAGAGGTTATAAGAAATAGACTGTTAAGGCTAAAGGTTCATAAGAGTCCCTGGCATGGTGCATCCCAGAGTGCTAATGGGGTTGTGCAACGAGCTAGCTGTGCCCCTAAAGATCCTGTTCAGGAAATGCCTGGATGAGCAAAAGGTCCCCAGTTATTGGAAAATGGCTTATGTGAGTCCTATCTTCAAGAGGGGCGATCGGCACTCCACGAATAACTATAAACCGGTGAGCCTAACCAGTTTAGTATGTAAAGTACTTGAGACCATTACAAGAGATGTCATGATGGAACATCTACTACGAACCAACCTTGTAAATGATTGCCAACACGGTTTTATGCCAGAGCGCTCATGCTTAACACAATTACTCAAGGTACTGGATATTTGGACCCAAATTCTGGAACAGGGTGGTAATATCAACAATATTTACCTAGATTTTGCCAAGGCTTTCGACAGTGTACCCCATGAAAGGCTGAAAATTAAATTGGAAGTGTACGGTATTCGGGGAAATGTCCTCGCGTGAATCGGAGACTTTCTTCATGACCGCAAGCAGTTTGGTAATTAATGGCATGAATTCATCAGGTGTATCCGTCACAAGCGGGGTACCACAGGCCACTTGTTTCAAGACGCGAGGGAAGACTTCTTGTAGTTTCTTAATTATGCAATATCAGATCATCCAGAAGACCGCGAGACGTTATTCTCACCACTTGTGACAAAAGAAAACAACAATGCTGCCCCAAATATAAGAAAAACCAGTTACACCATCACTTAATTCACCAGCAACGGTCGTGATGCTTAACGCCTGGAGAAACTTGCTAATTTTATTAAGTACAGTATATATTGTAAGGCAATATCCAGTTATCCGATTTACCCCCAGACATTCACCTTGCTATGTCTGGCAAAGTAAAATCTTAGCATTGCTATTTAGCTAAAAAAATTGAGTTGCTTCGTCCATGTCATTAGCGAAATGCCCGCCATCCCCGGAGTTTCCATGTATTTTTTTTTTGGCTATATCACTTATTTTTTGGAGGATTATGAGAACATAAGCATTCATTTTGTTGTACCTGACCACAGAAAAGCCTTCGCCTTACCAGTATTAAAAAAAAAATCAAACGTCAACTAAGGCAAGGCGTAGTCTTGGTCAGGTAGCATAACGTTATTGAATGAGGCGGAGGTAAAGTTTGTGACGTTACAGCAGTGTGTTACTTTCCTTGGTCCTTACTGTATATAGTCCTTGGTAGTACCTCCCAGTTTGATAGCTCCTAACTACCTTTATAAAAATTCAAGTTAAAGCCTACTAAACATCGAGAAAGGAACTTTATATATGAAATTTAACTACAGTTAATTTTTTTAGTTTATCATTATTACATAAAAGCAACCTTATAAAAATTTAAATGCAGTGTTAAAACTTTTCTTTGGGGTATAAACTGCGTACGGACGGTATATAATGTGGTACAACTTTACTCCTTGTCAAAAGAGCGAAAGGTTGTGAACAAAAGCTAAGGTTGGGGAAACATTCTTGCTCTCTTAAACTGAATTCTGATTGGTCCCGTTGCACGAGGAGACGAATCCCTGAGAAATGTAGAATTATTATTGGCTGCCGTAGTGAGTAGTGCTTGCAAGCCATCAAAAATGCTCTTTCGATTTATTTATACAATTTGCTCAAACAATGTATTCCTTTCGTATAATTTTGATTTCCCGAGTTTTTAGTGAAAAGGAAATATATACATTATATTCTAATAAGTGACAGCTTCATATTTACTTACATTATTAAATAAATAAACAAGAGGCAGTAGTGTTGGTAGTGGGAGTCTACAGTACAGCCCGTCTGTACGTGTGGTGATCGTGATCAGTTGGGACGACCTTCCAAGAGTGTACATGAATAGTACGGCATATTTACTGCTCCACGTACAGTGTTACAGCTACGTAGGTCGAGGTGATCCTGAGTAACTCCTATATTCGTCACTGCCAATCAAAAGAAATTCACTGTGAGTTACTGTTGTTCTTAAAATTAATGATAACAATAGAGACTAGGAATGTCTTTATAGTGGGAAAGACTCTGGTTAGATAAGTCGTATATTATAAATACATGTTTAGAGGTAGGAATTAAAGTACTGAGAACCACTACTACCTGATGAAGTTGTTCCATTTGGTCTATTTTTTTCTGTGTTCATATCATAAGTATTTGAAGAGGCAACATTTACTAGAACCTAATAGAACATGACCTAACCAACAACAACAAAAAACTACCCAACCCTACCTAACTTCCTATATAATGATACGAACATTTGTAGAACGGAAATACGAAATTGAATAACTTTTGGTAGTAATGCTGTTCTCAGATATTACATAAGAACATAAGATGGAAGAAACTCCCATACTGGGCAGTCCCATTCACACCCAACCCCTATTGCTCATACATCCATCCAACCTATGTTTGAAGCTATCCAGCGTATTTGAGTTAATGATGATATTTGGTAACTTGTTCCATTCATCCACTACTCTATTTCCAAACCAATTTTTACCTATTTCGTGCCTAAATCTAAATTTGTCTAATTTAAAACCATTGTTACGAGTTCGCTCCTGGTTGGATAGTTTGAGTACCTTTATAATGTCCCCTTTGTTTAGCCCTGACTTCCGTTTATACACCTCTGGAATAATTAATACTTTTATCCTCTTTGCCTGTAATTATTGATGACCGACCAGCTGCCGACGATTAAAAACGCCTCAATTTCTCTATATTTTATAATAGACACTTGTAATTTAGGCAAATCCGTTAAAAAGTGGTTATTTCTAAATTACCGTATACATACCTCACCTTAGTTGATAAGAAAACTAATGGCTGAAGCATTGTGATAAGCCCTCACCAACCTAACCAAAGAAACCTACCTAACCTAACTTCCTAGCCGTGAGGCTCCACCCTCATGACCCCCCAGTATATTAAACAGAAATAATTTACTATGATCTGGTGTAATTATTTAAATTTTTTTTGTGGAAGTGAGAGCAGCCAATAAATGTACACTGAGCTGTGTAAGCGTAACCGTAGACCGGGCCCTGCCTTAGCGATTTATCACTGCATCTCTGTACCTTGTAAATTTATTTACAAAATCATTAGACACCAGAGTTGTGCCAGACTTGTGGAAACAGGCAAATGTAGTACCCATATTCAAAAAGGGAGACAGAGCATCATCGTCAAATTACCGGCCGATCAGTTTGACGTCAGTAGTGGGGAAATTTCTTGAATCAATTATAGCAGATAGCATCCGATCGCATCTAGAGAAAAGCAAATTAATCTACGACTCGCAACATGGGTTTCCAAAGGGAAAATCTTGTCTAACAAATCTGCTGACGTTTTTTAGGAAAGCCTTCGAGGAAGTAGATAATGACGAAAATTACGATGTTATTTACTTAGACTTTAGCAAAGCATTTGACAGAGTACCTCTGAGAAAAATTAAGGCTCATGGTATCGAGGGGAAAGTTTTAAATTGGATAAAATCATGGCTCACCGATAGAATGCAGAGGGTCAGCGTAGACGGTGTCAAATCTGAGTGGGGCCGTGTAACCAGTGGGGTTCCCCAGGGGTCAGTACTAGGCCCACTCTTGTTCATAATCTACATAAATGATCTAGATACTGGGATCAGCAGTGACATAAGCAAGTTTGCGGATGACACCAAAATAAGGCGGCAGATTAATTCAGGGCAGGATGCAAATGCATTACAGGAGGATCTAAATAAACTGCAGGGGTGGTCTGAAAAATGGCAAATGAAATTCAACACCAGCAAGTGCAGCATACTTAATTTTGGAAGAACAATAAATACAGTACTGACAATGTATACAGCCTTAACAACATCAACCTAGAGAAGTCGACTTGTGAAAGAGACCTAGGGGTACTTGTAAGCCCGGACCTACGGCCTAGAAAACAGTGCGTTAATGTTCGAAATAAGGCAAACGGAGTACAGTATTGGGTTTTATATCTGGAAGTGTAAGTAATAAGAGTGCAGAGGTCTTATTGCAACTATATCATGCGCTAGTCAGGCCGCACCTCAATTATGCGGTTCAGTTCTGGTGCCCTTATTATAGAATGGATATAAATTCACTAGAGTCGGTGCAGCGAAGAATGACGAAAATGATTCCGGGACTTAAAACCTTCCATATCAGGATAGGTTAAAGAAAGGTAACTTGCATTCCCTAGAAAGACGAAGAGTGCGGGGAGATATGATAGAAGTATTTAAGTGGGTGAAAGGAATCAATAAAGGGGATATAGATAAAGTTCTTATAATATCCGAGCAGGATAGGACTCGGAGCAACGGATTTAAGTTGTATAAGTTTAGGTTCAGGAGGGAGATAGGAAGAAACTGGTTCACAAATAGGGTGGTGGACGAGTGGAACAAGCTTAGCAACTTTGTAGTAATTGCTGGAACTCTGGAAAGTTTCAAAAGGAGGCTAGATAGATTCATGGATGATAGAGAGTGGTAGTAACTCTCGACAGGAGCTGCCATGCACAGGCCAACCGGCCTATTGCAGACGCCTTATTTTCTTATGTGTTTATGTTCAAGACAAAGTAGTGCCACTAATGTGAGCCTCTGCACCTAATTATCTACCAAATGAATCATTTTCCAAAGAATTTATTATTATATTAGAATTCTCTGATTAAAATATACAGAGTTACAACCGACTCGACTTACGTCCACCCGCACCTACGACCTGCCTCAGTCTTACCAAAATGTGGTCAAATGTATTTTTGAGTCCCAAAGTCAGTACACAGACAAAATTTTCATCTGTAATTCACTTTAAAATGGCTGGCAAGCTTAAAAGTGAGTGTTTTGTGGTGCTGAGAAGAAAAAGAGACCCAAATTTTCGATTTTCTTTGTGTTATTTAAGCATTTCCGACTTACGACCACTTCGACTTACGACCTGGATGTCTGTCCCTAACCCCGTTGTAAGTTGGAGTACCTGTAGTAAGAAAATGAAAACAAATGATGCATCAGCTAGTTAGTCGTAAATATTAGCTGAAAATATGGTACAGTATTATTTTACCTCCGGAAATATGCCCCCAAAAGTTATAAACTACTGAAACATTTACATCTCACTATTTTGAGCATTTTGAATCCCATATATACCAGGTGGAAATGAATAATAGCGACACAATTGAATTTAATTGATTTTAAGTAGTATTCAGTCTTCGTCTGTGAGGAGATGTTATTGGCGCATCTCGCAAGCGCGATGTTGACTGACATCCTCCAGTCGTGACCAATTAGGTATCGATATCTTCACGCAAATTTTTCTCTACCACTCACATTTGATGTTTTTCAAAGGAAGCAGCCTTGGGTAATTGCATTGACCAGTCTCACAATGGCCTTGGTGGAGGTTGACCTTGCTCACTATCCACCTCTGGAACTGTTATACCCCTTCTACACTGACTTTGCTCAGTTCCCGGATCTGGCATGCATCCCCCTGTTCTGCTCATCATTTGTCCTAATCAACGCCTTGAATTTCTGAGTATTTTGTTGCGGTCTCCTTGTATGCCCTGAGGCACTGGGTTTGTTCTTGGGTATATATTTATTGATCAATTGGTTCACTTTACTGGCTATGTTATTCAACGTAGAGTCTGCGTTTTTCTATCTTAGTGAGTCAAGCCAGCGAATCCCCCTCGTCTCCTCCCTCATCCCGTCGTAATTGTCATTGATTGTCAATTAAGGCTCTTATCTTCCTTTGGTTTAATAAGCTACAGTTTGGGGATCTGTATATACTGTACATCCAACAATGAATAAAAGCGTCGGCACACTGGGCACTTTCTTCCCACCATGTCAGCCGTTTGCTGGCTGCTGGCCTGATGGCCCAGCAAGCAGCAAGATTTTGTCTGTTGTGAGAAATGGACAGCAATTTAACAGCAAGCTTTGCTTTACTTTTAACTTTCATCATCTTAACCACTGATCGTTTCGTTAGCTGCTTAGGCAGTCAGTCACAACTTTGATATTCACTGTTGGCAGACACTGGGCATGCACTGGCTTCTGAATATATCGGAACCTGCTCAAGTGTTGATCAAGTCTGGTTTGAATGAGCTCACATTCGGTGCCATCGCAATGCTCTAAGGCAGATTGTTCCAAGAGTTCACAATTCTCATTCTGAAGAAAGTTTGCCCTCACAGTTTTCTGGAAATGTGGTATCTTCAAATAAGTCTCTCCCCCTGTACCCTCACCTGGCTGCCTTTAAGGTCTTTCCTAGCATAGATAACCACTCCTCTCTTGCAAGTTGCTTGAGAAAGAATCGTAAATGAGTGTCATATCCATCGATATTGAACTCGCATGTTCTTGTAGGGGATGTGATTTCAACGTTTATTTCGCAGTTTCCATCTTTTACCCATCGATTTAGGCGACCCACATGAATCGCGTAGATCCGTTGAGAAATTTTTTTTTGGGGGGGGGGGGTAATGACCATGACGAGAGAAATATTTTACAATGAATAGAAATAATTGACCCTCTAGGGTTGATGGGTCTGCCGTGCGAGGACGATGAGCCGCACTCTACCTGTTCATGCATTACGTCATGTACTCTATTTCTCATTGGCTGATTATTGCTTGTTTTGCATTCCATTCTTCGATTCTTTAGTATTTCATTGACCAAATATCAATGAGGACATACAGCGTCACTATTAGAAGCATTATAATATGCCCCTCCACCATATCCACTTGATCCAACCAAGGAGCTAAGCATATTTCAATGTAACTTAGATTTTATATCATTTTATACTTTCTGATAATCACAATTTATTTTATAACCCATGACATATTTCATAGTTGTATAGGCAACTCAGTAGGGCGTATGTGTGTCCCCCAGGAGGTCAAGGCTGTAGGGTATGTGTGTGTCCTCCGGGAGGTCAGGGCATGTGTGTGTGTATCTGCCAGGAGGTCAGGGCTGTAGGGCATGTGTGTGTGTTCCCCAAGAGGTCAGGGCATGTGTATGTGTGTCCCCCAGGAGGTCAGGGCATGTGTGTGTGTATCTGCCAGGAGGTCAGGGCTGTAGGGCATGTGTGTGTGTTCCCCAAGAGGTCAGGACATGTGTATGTGTGTCCCCCAGGAGGTCAGGGCATGTGTGTGTGTATCTGCCAGGAGGTCAGGGCTGTAGGGTATGTGTGTGAGTCTCCCCAGGAGGGGGACCCTATGATGTGTAGGAACATAAAACTCTCCAGCAGTGGGTATAGAAGCATGTTAAAGCAGAAGAGGTTGTAGCAGGAAGAAAATGAGGGGAAATTTTTGTTAGAGAAACAGAACCAAAAAAAAACCAGTGTGAGGAAATGGCTCAAAAATCAAGGAAGAGCAGAGAGGCCTTCCAGCAACAAAAACAGAAGCATTTACTCTCCCTGAAGAAACTAGCCGATGCAATTAAAACTAAGATTAAAACAAAACCAAATGAGTGAATATTACACGGGAAATAAAACTAAATATATTTGTATACAGTATATATCATGGAACAGCTTATTTTTCTCATTTTAGTACTACATATGCTATTGAAACTCCAGTTGCTGGTATGTATCAAATTTTGAATTCTCACACAATACAGTGCAAAACAAAAAAAAGCTTACCTCTTCAGTTTATCTTCTCTCAATAATGGTGCACAATTAAAAATCTTAAACTAATTCACATTTAGTAACAGCTAATATTTGTAAGACTATATGCATGAAAAATATTGTTGCAATAAACATACATATTTGATTTTGGGTGCTATATATTCTAACTATTAGGCGCTCACAAAATGAGTAACAATGTGAGAAATTAAGTTAAATATAAGTATCGTAAAAATTTCCTGGATATGTGCCCCATCCGCTCAATTTTTATTTTTTCCTTCAAAGACCCAATCACATCCCTGTCTTGTACAACAGTTCTACAATTCTACCTACTATATTGGGTTGATGTATCAAGAAATGTGTCCGTATTAGTGTACATGACTTTCAAGCCAGAATTAGTCCTCGGTAACGTCTCTGGTCTTAATAGTTTACATTGGTCTTCCTCCATTCTCAGCTGCTGCATTGGTTCCAAAGTCCATTGTATTTTGTGGGGTGTGACCAAAGATAACATTGTTTACATGGCGCTTACCTCTCTACAGTAGTAGTTGTCTTAAAGGATGGGATAGATGATGACCTCACTGTCAGGTCAGTGATGCTTTAGTATGTGGTCTGCTGGGATATATGCACTATGGCGTCCATTAACCTAACATAACTTAGCCTAACCGAACACGATAATACCTGACCTGACGCTACAGTGTAAATATCCCTGTAGACCAACTCTAGCTCGGTAGACTGCATACAGTACTATAGTAGCACAGTCATTAGCACTGTCAGGTCTTAGTCAGCAGGGTGGGGGCTGAGGGGCACGTTTACCCCCTTCCCCAGACACATGCAAATTTGCCCTTGTGGCCCAGAAACACGGGTCTGTATACGGGGGCTTGATAGTACAGTATTGCCATATTTTATTGTTCATATACAGTAATTTAAACTTCTAAGTATCATTTAGGATGAACAATAATTAATATGCCGTACTAAGGTTTTATTATGAGGTACTGTAATGTGTATTTTCTGGAATTTTTTTATTGAATTCATTGAATGTGACGAAGTTGACGTTACATTAGCCAACAGAATTTTTGCAAAACTTCTTGATTGTGTCTTAGACCTGTCAAAGCTATCTGGTCAGGGTTATGATAGTGCAGGAAATATGTTTGGTAAAAATAAGGGATTTGTTGCAAGATTCATTTTAGGCCATAATGTGAATTTGATAACGGAAGTAGGTTATCTTATGTTTTTTATGTTGATTTAAATGAGTATGGCCTTTATTTTCACACGTTTTCGCTGTTTACTTCGCGATTGAGGCATAATGTGACTTAATACAATACTTCTATGTAATGTTTTTTGTTATAGTAGATCATGTGAAGCTCATGTGAAAGAGATTTCAATGTAATATGTTTAGAGAACTTAAACTCCATCAATATTGTTGTATCAACTTCCAAATGTAAACACAGGTTACAATATAAGTTAGGATTTTATTTTATTTTATTTTATTTATTTATTTATTTTTTATATATAACCTCACATTTTCCCTCATCCTCAAAGCTCTACCCACTTGGAAAAATCAATCATTGCAAGTGTTAAAGTGGGGCCAGCCACACAAGGAGTCACACAGCACAAGGTTGAAGAAGCCACTGGTCCAGAAAATTGTGAGGGCATACTTTTACTGAGTGAGAATTGTAAACTCTTGGAACAATCTAGTACTAGAGAGTGTTGTGATGGCACCAAGTGTGAGCTTCAAGATCAGACTCTGGAATTCTAGAAACCTCAATGTTCTCAGTCAAAATATCTTGAGTCCATGTCTTGCTGCTGCTTCATGTAGTGATCCTGTGAGACATGAGACATAAATCACTGTACATGTACTTTATTTTTAGTTTAGTTAAGTACTCTTTAATACATTACAGTACAGTACCGGAGCCAGTACATGCTCAGTGATATCTCCGTTTGTTGGAATAATTGGTGCAGAGCACTTTCGGGAATGAGAGATTTCTGGGTAACGAGACTACTCTCTCGATGCCGGAAAAAATCCCTCATCCCTGGAATTTTCTGGGTAACAAAAATTTTCTCGGAGGTTCCAGAATGATGTATTATTTCATCTCTCAAAGCCAGAAAAAAATTCCTTGTTCCCGGAATTTTCCGGGTAATGGAAAAATATTCTCAGAAGTTCCAGAAATTGCCCATTACATAATCTCTCAAACCCTGAAAAAACTCTCCCATCCCCAGAATTTTCTGGAAAATTACAGATTTCGGAACGATTTTCCAAGAAAAATTCAATTCTGACTATCTGAGAGTTCCAGGTTTGAGGGATTCCAACTAAGGGAGATATTACTACTGTACTGTACTTGCCAACAGTGTGTATCAGGGACATAACTGATCTGTCATCCAAGTGGCAAAGAGGATAAAGTAAAGTTTTGTTTAATTGACTTTATAATGAGATACCTGTTTCAGCTCCTCAGCATCTACCAATGCTGCAAAAAATGGAAGAAAAAATAATCATAACTTTGTATTTTATGTATGTAAATCAGGACATGGAACAATTTTTTTGTAAACAGAATCATTATAGATCGGGGACTGCCTTTAACAGTATTATGCCATAGTACTGTACCATATATAAGTCCTTACTGTTTAATTTATTGAGTCCTGATTCTGAAGTTTTTACTGTACTATACTGTATATGCAAGAATGTATATAAGGTAACATTAGTGTGTTTATATGACTCATTTTTGTTCATACATGTATTTGTTTTACAGGGACTACTGAAGTGTGACTCGTCTTGCAGTGCTACGTATTACAAATGATCAAAAAGAGAGACTGTTGCACAGAAACTGAATCAACATTGAATAAGTTTCACAGACAACAGTGTTCTGAAAATTGATTATTGTATTGAAAATTTTGGTCATTGACAGCTAATCAGTTTATAATGGTGGGTGAAAGAAAGAGAGTTAGGGGTAGAGGTGGCAAAAATCAAAATAAAAGCAAAACTCATGACCAACAAGTTAGACAGCCTAAGAAAAAACTGGTGAATGATAAACAGTCTGGTGCAAGTAGTTATGAAACTCCAGAAAAAGATAAACCTCATCAAGGTGAAGATACTTTTAGCCAAGCCACAAGTCCTCAGAAAGGCAACAATCAACACCAGTATGATGTATTTAATACTGAATGTGTGAGAGGTTCTCCTAGTCCAGATACCTTACCACAACTTAAACAGCATCTAAAACAATTGGATAGACAACAACAGGGCAAAAAAAAACACAGCCATAGTAAAAGCTCCAGTCTTGAAGAAAATTCTGCAAGTAAAGTTCCCTCATCAGAAGTTACTTTTACTGAGCAACAGCCTTGTCAGGATGATAAAGGTCATGAACAACAGGCATCTGCAAATAAAGGCCCTTGTGTGTCTAATAAGCGTGAACTTGAACACCAATCACCAAGTCTACAAGATGGTACACCTAATAAGTGCCTTTGTGTGGAACCTGTCTACAAGACTCGAGGAAATATCCAAAATGAAATTGAATGGTTTTATGCCAAGGAAAATGAACAGCTAAATGCCCAGAAAAGTGAACAGCTTAATGCCCAGAAAAGTGAACAGCATAATGCCCAGAAAAGTGAACAGCTTAATGCTGAAGAAAATGAACATCTTGGTGCTAAGGATAAAGAGCAGCTTAATGCTGAGGAAAATGAAAATCTTGGTGCTCAGGAAAAAGAGCAGCTTAATGCTGAGGAAAATGAACAGCTTAATGCCCAGGAAAATGGACAGCTTTATGTCAATGAAAATGAACAGCTTAATGTCAATGACAATGAACAGCTTAATGTCAATGAAAATGACAAGCTTGATGCCAAGGAAACTGGACAGCTTATTGTCCAGGAAAATGAAGAGCTTAATGCAAAGGAAACTGGACAGCTTATTGTTCCGGAAACTGGACAGCTTATAGTCCGGGAAAATGAAGAGCTTAATGTCGAGGAAACTGTACAGCTTATTGTCCAGGAAAATGAACAGTTAAATGCCAAGGAAACTGGACAGCTTATTGTCCGGGAAACTGGACAACCTATTGTCCAGGAAAATGAACAGCTTATTGTCCAGGAAACTGAACAGCTTATTGTCCAGGAAAATGAAGAGTTTAATGCCCAGAAAAATGAAGCGATTAATGCTGAAGCAAACAAAAAAGTTTATACCAAGCAGGATGAACAGTTCACAACGACGACAATTAATCAACAGTTTGGTACCAAGAACACGAGGAATAATGATAAAACAACCAAACACACTGATGCAGAGGCAGATTATAAAAGTGACACTAAAGAAAGCAAATGGGTAGATCTTGCTGAAAATGAACTGCTTGAAAATACAGAGGCTAATACCGTGGGAAATGAAGAGCCTGATGTTACAGAAAATGAAGAGCCTGATGTTACAGAAAATGAAGAGCCTGATGTTACAGAAAATGAAGAGCCTGATGTTACAGAAAATGAAGAGCCTGATGTTACAGAAAATGAAGAGCCTGATGTTACAGAAAATGAAGAGCCTGCTGTTAAGGAAAATGAAGAGCCTGATGTTAAGGAAAAGGAAGAGCCTGATGTTAAGGAAAATGAAAAGCCTGCTGTTAAGGAAAAGGAAGAGCCTGATGTTAAGGAAAATGAAGAGCCTGATGTCAAGGAAAATGAAGAGCCTGATGTCAAGGAAAATGAAGAGCCTGCTGTTAAGGAAAATGAAGAGCCTGCTGTTAAGGAAAATGAAGAGCCTGATGTAAAGGAAAATGAAGAGCCTGATGTAAAAGAAAATGAAGAGCCTGATGTCAAGGAAAATGAAGAGCCTGCTGTTAAGGAAAAGGAAGAGCCTGATGTAAAGGAAAATGAAGAGCCTGATGTAAAAGAAAATGAAGAGCCTGATGTCAAGGAAAATGAAGAGCCTGCTGTTAAGGAAAATGAAGAGCCTGATGTAAAGGAAAATGAAGAGCCTGATGTAAAAGAAAATGAAGAGCCTGATGTCAAGGAAAATGAAGAGCCTGCTGTTAAGGAAAAGGAAGAGCCTGATGTAAAGGAAAATGAAGAGCCTGATGTAAAAGAAAATGAAGAGCCTGATGTCAAGGAAAATGAAGAGCCTGCTGTTAAGGAAAATGAAGAGCCTGATGTAAAGGAAAATGAAAGCCTGATGTTGAAGAGCCTGCTGTTAAGGAAAAGGAAGAGCCTGATGTTAAGGAAAATGAAAAGCCTGCTGTTAAGGAAAAGGAAGAGCCTGATGTTAAGGAAAATGAAGAGCCTGATGTAAAAGAAAATGAAGAGCCTGATGTCAAGGAAAATGAAGAGCCTGCTGTTAAGGAAAAGGAAGAGCCTGATGTTAAGGAAAATGAAGAGCCTGATGTTAAGGAAAATGAAGAGCCTGATGTTAAGGAAAATGAAGAGCCTGATGTCAAGGAAAATGAAGAGCCTGATGTCAAGGAAAATGAAGAGCCTGATGTCAAGGAAAATGAAGAGTCCCTGCTGTTAAGGAAAATGAAAAGAGCCCTGATGTAAAGGAAAATGAAGAGCCTGCTGTTAAGGAAAATGAAAAGCCTGCTGTTAAGGAAAATGAAGAGCCTGATGTTAAGGAAAATGAAAAGCCTGATGTTAAGGAAAATGAAGAGCCTGATGTAAAGGAAAATGAAGAGCCTGATGTAAAGGAAAAGGAAGAGTCTGATGTCAAGGAAAAAGAAGAGCCGGATGTAAAGGAAAATGAAGAGCCTGCTGTTATGGAAAAGGAAGAGCCTGCTGTTAAGGAAAAGGAAGAGCCTGATGTCAAGGAAAAGGAAGAGCCTGATGTTAAGGAAAAGGAAGAGCCTGATGTTAAGGAAAAGGAAGAGCCTGATGTCAAGGAAAAGGAAGAGCCTGATGTCAAGGAAAAGGAAGAGCCAGATGTAAAGGAAAATGAAGAGCCTGATGTTAAGGAAAATGAAGAGCCTGATGAAAAGGAAATTGAAGAGCCTGATGTTAAGGAAAATGAAGAGCCTGACGTTAAGGAAAATGAAGAGCCAGATGTAAAGGAAATTGAAGAGCCTGATGTAAAGGAAATTGAGGAGCCTGATGTTAAGGAAAATGAAGAGCCTGATGTAAAGGAAAATGAAGAGCCTGATGTAGAGGAAATTGAAGAGCCTGATGTAAAGGAAATTGAAGAGCCTGATGTTAAGGAAAATGAAGAGCCTGATGTTAAGGAAAATGAAGAGCCTGATGTAAAGGAAAATGAAGAGCCTGATGTAAAGGAAAATGAAGAGCCTGATGTTAAGGAAAATGAAGAGTCTGATGTTAAGAAAAATGAAGAGCCTGATGTTAAGGAAAATGAAAAGCCTGCTGTTAAGGAAAATGAAAAGCCTGCTGTTAAGGAAAAGGAAGAGCCTGATGTAAAAGAAAATGAAGAGCCTGATGTTAAGGAAAATGAAGAGCCTGATGTAAAAGAAAATGAAGAGCCTGATGTTAAGGAAAATGAAGAGCCTGATGTAAAAGAAAATGAAGAGCCTGATGTCAAGGAAAATGAAGAGCCTGACGTCAAGGAAATTGAAGAGCCTGACGTTAAGGAAATTGAAGAGCCTGACGTTAAGGAAAATGAAGAGCCTGATGTTAAGAAAAATGAAGAGCCTGATGTTAAGGAAGATAAAAGACACACTTTTGAGGAAAATGAGTTAAATGTCAAACAGGATACTGGGGTTAGTGCTAAGGAAGTTAAAGACACTGACACCAAGCAAGTCCAAGAGGTCATACCCAAGCAAGGCCAAGGTGTTGAACCCAGGCAAGGCCAAGGTATTGAACCCAAGCAAGGCCAAGGTGTTGAACCCAGGCAAGGCCAAGGGTTTGGTCAAGTCAGAACCCAACATGTTGCTCTTGAGGAAGACCCTAACCAAGTTGAAATAAAGGTCATGCAGAATGAGACTGATACTAATAAAGACTCAATGTTGCAAGGTACACTGCAACAACACTGCCATTCCCAGTTTGCTAAGATCGTTGAAGGCAAACAAGAGGACAAGTGTAATGGTAAACCTATTGTAGAAATTGATAGTAAACAGAGTGACAAATATGCACATAAGAAGGCTCCTCATAAGCATGATAATAAACAGGATGAACACTTCAATGCAGAGCAAGAGAACAAGCAACAGCATCAACCTAAGGAACTGGTAGGTGTGGATCACATGCCAGACCACAATCAGTTTACTGACCACAAAAATAGTGAAGCTAAAAGCACTTCTATAGATATTCAACAGCAGAATCAAGGTGGCCATCAGTTCAATAAACAAGTCAACAGTATTCAACAAGTCCAGAAAAGTGGTGACCATCAAGATGATGGTAGGGAAAGTATTGGGCATTGGAATGATAACCAATTTAATTACATGTATTTGCCGTCCTCTATGTCAAGTGAGCAGCGAGGTGAAGACGAAGAAATTAATTGGCAACAGACCAGTATGCAAGGTGCTGAACAGCATAGTAGCAGTTTTCTTCCTCACTCTGAAAATGGCAAGATAAATTCTAATGGGAAAGCTCAACACCAGAGGTGTATTTATAACCCAAACAAATACCAGCACCATATTAATCAGAAACAGGTATCACAGCAGGACTATAGTTCAAACTTAACTGAAAATATTCCTGAGCAAATAGGTCATCCAGTAGGTAAGGGAGACGAGTTGCAAGAAAAGGTGCTAAGAGAATACCAGGGTGTTGTACAAAATACCCAGAGAGATCATCACCAACAGAGTAGCAAACATGACAATTGTGAGAGTGTGAACCAAGGTGAAATGCATTTTAGTCAACAAAATTACAAGCATCATGAAAACCAACAAGGTTATCTGCAGCAATGTGATCAAGCTTATCCTGATAGTCCAAATCATCACCAACCCCACCATAAGGACTGTACCAATGCTTACTACAGTCCTCCTCCAGAATATGGCCGTGGCTCATATGGTCGTCGGCCTCGAAGAGGAAGAGGTAAAAGTGAATACTACCAGCAGCAGCAGCATCATCAGCAGCAGCATCATCATCGTAACCAAAATTCACAAGGATTCTCTCAGTCAAGGTAAATATTATATTATTTAATTACAGTTACACCATTAGATGCATTCTTTTAGGCATATACCTACTTTTGATCATAAAATTGTGGTAAAATTACTGGAAATAAAAAAGTGTGAATTGTGAAATGAATTTGATGCTTGAGATGGACATCAACTTTTAACCTTTAGCCCAGGTTAGGGTGCTGCTGGCAGTAACCCCACACACACACACACACCCACATGGATAAATCGAGAAAAAATAAACTTTTCCAAAAATAATTAAAAACTAAAACAAAAAAGTGGCGGGAATAGGCAGACGTTCTAGAATGTCACCTGGGGTGCGCTGGTCGGACGTTTTGGAAAGTCACCTGGGGCCTAGGGGTTAAATTGGCTTACTGCTATTCAGGAATTTACAATATCACATTGCATTATTCAATTAGAACTGCATACTGAGAGAATAATTATCTGATATAATCTCTAGATTAATGGGGATGTTCATTGAAAATGGTGATGCATTTTTAGAATTATGAATTTCTTGATGAATTTCTTGGTGTTTTTAAAATTAACTTAATGGTACAGTATTTAGTTTTATAAGATCCTTTGACCAAATATGCATATGAGCGTACAGTTAAACTGCTTGTTGGTTGCAGAATGACAAAACCGAATAATTTTGGAAATCTTTGCATGTTTACAGTCCTGAACCAAATATAGTACAGTAGTGTCAAAAGTACAGTAAATGTTGCATTTAGATGTGATCAAAGGAGCAAGTAAGTAGGTTATGGCAGGGTTAAGTTAGGGAATATGTCCTGTACCCAGTATGCATTACAAGGTTAATAAGTACTGCAGCATTTAATGTTGTTGTATAATATTGGTTTTTCAAGTTTAGTGAGGGACATCCGTTATAACTGTACATTTGGAAGTAGATGGAATGATAATTATTATAAACTGGGATAAATAACCACATAAAGTAGAGAGAGGCAAGTACACAAAGACATCAGCTGTTCCAAACTGAGGCCACCCTGGTGCTATCAAAAGTAAAACAAAGTAGCAAGCAAACCTGCAAGTTTTCAGGAAAGTCCAGTTTCTTGGAAGCTGGATAAATGGTCTGGCACCTTTATTTGGTTTTCTAGCCATAATTTCTTTGTATGCAAGTGTTCATTGCTGCTTACAATATGTATTGAAATGAAGTTAAGTTTCAATATCCTTGGTGGTCTATTTATACAAGTATTTATTTCTGTCAAAACCATCATCCCCAGGCATGTATTTACCAGGTACAGTAGTTCATAAAATCCATCCATCACTATCACTAGTTTAATGATGACACACCATTATGTTCTTCAATAAATGATGTACTGTAATGTTGTTTCTAAAGAAAACTTTTGGGGCTAAGTTGTGATGGCCAAATGTAAGTGGATCATGAGTTAATCTTCGTCTGTGACTTTATGGGGTTAAGTCTGGGTTTGCATCCCAGGACAGATGGTTATAATTCAAGCATCACCAAGTAAGACATTGACCATAAGTATTCTGATGTTGAAAGTACAGTATTAGGGTTAACCTTAGTGATGGTCATTCGAAATTTATGATGTAAAGATTGATAAGCAGTTACAATTTTACAAGTTAAGGATATCCACGGGAAGTAACACACACTGTAAGATTATTGTGTTTTGATAAATAAGGAGATATTGAGGTTCAGATTTTATATAATAAGATAGAGTAAAGTGTTATTGAGTGTAATTTTTTTTTTTTTTTTAAATTGGCCCTTTTTATTTTTATTTGTTTTAATATCCTTAGATTGGGACCATCAATCCCCCCACCCCACCTGCCCTTAAAGCAAAGCCCAGCTCATAGTCCCATTCTTTCCCATATGCACACATACACTGTCAATCTTACATTCTTAAAACTGTGTTGCATATTTTATTGCAGATTGCTTACATGTGGTTGCTGTAATGAGAAATACGATCTTGATTTCAAGCACCCAAGAGTTCTGTACTGCCACCATACTTTCTGCACAGAATGTATAGCTTACATGTATCATATGGGAACAGTTTACTGCTATACTTGTAATAAACGTACTTGGAGAGTGACTGCTCCAAACAATCTTCCAATTAACCAAACTCTTTTTGGATTAATGAAAGAAGGAATTTGTAAGCCTACTGTCACAGTTGGTGAAAGTGATCAACCTGTAAATCAGTCTTATATCACTAAGGAGGATCCAATAAGGGGAGAACAGCTTTGTAAACCACCAAAACAGAGAGGAAAATCTATTAAGACAGCACAAAGTGACCAAGTTGATTCTAGAAGAGAAAATCTAGCCTCATCATCAAGTGAGTTACCCCATGATGGTAGGTGTGTAGAATATGGAATACGCATAATTGCACACTGCACAACATGTCAACAGTGGGTATGTGAAAGTTGTCAGAAAGTTGATCATAATAAAAAAGGCTGTGTTCTGAGGCCAATAAAAATTGCACTTGCAGAAATGAAACAGAACAGTGTAAAAAAGGCACATTCAACTTGTGATTTCCTCAGCAAGTCTGTGAAGGATCTCCAAATATACAGTGATCACTTAAATGTGCTCCTTTTGTCTATGCGTGCTGCTTTTCAGTGTTTCGAGAAAGAGTATGACAGTACAAAGAAGGCTTTACAGGAGGGTACACAGAATGAAAAGCATCTTAAAGATGTTGAATTAAAACTCTCATCATTAACCAACCTTCCGAATGCAATAGCAGGTTTACAAGGTCTTGACAATGAGTGTGATGTAGCTCAACGGTGGATGTCGAGCACTCTGTCTAGAACCATCAGTACTGGTGCAGTAAAAGGTGCAGCCAAGGTAAGTTGAAACAGTGTAGATGAGAATATTTTTTTTACTATACTTAGGATACAGTAGGTAGGCAAGTTACAGTAGGTATGTCATTTTACTGGACTGTTGAATAGAATGAGGAACAGTGGAAATTGCCAGTCATTGTAACATTTTATGCAAAGGTACACTTCACCTTGTCCCAGAATTTTGTCACTGTATGCACTCCAAATACAGTACAGTAGGCTCTCATATTTGGACACCTATTTAGACTGGATAAACCTCGCGAAATTCAAATCGTCCAAATTTAAATACAACTTCCTATGGAGAAAATTAATTTGAGTCTTGTACATTTGATGTTTGGCTAAATTTTGTCTTATTTACCCTACTTTTTGGCGAATTACTACCTGTAATAAAGCAACATCCTAATAAACCAACAAAAATAACACAGATAAAGTTAAATAAAAACTAAAAACAACACAAAAAGTTTCTATGTTCTACAGCTTCAGCTAGAGTTGAACCTGATGACTTGGCAACTTCGTCATCTGAGTAAAAACACACTCAACAATATTGGCTGTCCTTATGCATTCAACTTTACCACCATTAAAATATATATGAACAGTAAATAAGTGTTGCTTCCATATTCTTATGTAGAGTAATAATGATATATTTTCACATGTACGTACTTACATACGCGATCTCTTTTATTTTCTTTACCATTAATGGTTAGCTACTTTTATTGTTCCATTTATTAACATTAAATAACGTTACTTAAAACAACCATATTATTTTTTTTACATTAATTTTACTACAGCTACAACCAGGGTCTTATTTTCTTCAGTTTTATATGTCGAACCAATCAGTCACTGGTTTTGTAAACATTAGCGAAAACAATGCCGTCTCGTCTCTTCGTGTGTTTTAATATTCTACGTATGTATTATTAATGAATTGTATTGTTCATTTTGCACACATACCGGTAAACATTAATTCAATCAAAAAGACATTCAGTAATAAACAATAATGAATCTTTTGTACACAAGAGAAATGACGCTGTTTACACGATTGTGCACGTCTGAATGTTGGTGGGCCGCTCAAACCCATCGAAATTCGAGTTTCCACCGTCAAAATTTGAAATTGTGTAGTTTTTTTTGTGTTCAAATAAAAAAGTCAAATTAAAAACTCACAAAACTTGAGAACCTATTGTACTGTACATATAAGGGGCAGACACGTAATGTTATCCTTTCTGCAAATTATTATACAGTACTGTACTGTATACATTTTATTTATCTAAATTACTCCCCAAAAAAGCTTTATGTTGGTCTGAATGTGTTCCTGTATGTCTCTACACAAAAGTACAGTATTTTGTTTTGTAAAGTGAAACTGGTGGGTTATGTATTAAGCCTAATTGTAAACCTTGCTCTTGTTTAGAGTCTGAAGTCTGACACATTTGATACAAGTCACTATTTCAAAAAGTGTTTCTTAAATCAGCTGCATCATTAAAAATTATTTGGGAATATAGGACAGGAGTCCAGGTTAACCAGCTAGCTAAGAAAAAAATCTAAAAAATAAATTATTTTATGCTTCAAGAATAAACCAAATCGAGTAGACTCGTATGGTATTGCACTTTTCATGTCACTTTTTCTCTAGTTTTCTTGTAAATAATGATGCTCCTTGCATATCGTCTTATTGATGATACCATATTTGCGCTCCATCTGTTGACAAACACATCCTGGTGACCAACTGACTGACCCTGAATGTTAAGCATTAGAATGATTCCCAGTCTGTCATCAATTTTTCTTTGCATATGAACCGAGCTAACCAAACTGAACATAACCTAACCTAAAATAGTAATAATATACAGTACTGTGCTGTATTTCCATCCTAGGATAGGTAGGTTTTGTTGGTTCATCTTATCTATGGTAAATCATAATATAATTTAGTTGTTAAATTTGTTGGGAGTCTTTGTATGTATGGAAATGATGAGTGTACTACAAGGAAGCCATGTGCTTATGCATGAGTTTGCCAACAATGTAAGGCTTGACCAATTTCCCAAGTGGCTAACAAGCCATCAAGTGGTGTAGTGGATGAAGTAATGTTTCTCCAAACTAATATACAGGTATAACAAAAATTCCACATCCAATTAATTTTTCTTTTTTGGGGATATTCTTCTTAACCACTTGTATATGGGGGTCCTCACTCTGTTCAATAAAATCAACTGGCAATTTTACTGTATACCTATGCTGTTTTGGCGGTATGTACTGCCGGAAGCCTAGTCTACCATGCCACAGCAATAAACTCTCGTCAAGACAAAGGTCATGGTATGGAGCAAACATTTCCCTATACAGTACTTGTACTTCCTACACATGTGATCAAGACCATTTTTGTTTGATTCACAGGGATGTTTCCATGACGGTTCATCAGTTCCTTGCATAGAAAATATATTTTTTAATGCATTTAAAGATAATTTATATTTTGGGTAAGGAAGGTTATGTTAACTAGGTTAGTTTGGCTCATTTTATGAACAACTGATTACAGTATATGATGTAACAGTGTTTAGTGATTGGACCTTGGAATTTGTTACCAGGGTTCAAGAATATTCATTCATAAAAATATCCAGCAAAGGAGCAGGTCCTGGTTGGCATTTAGGAGCTTGGAAATAATATACTGTACAGTACAAAACCCTTTTTGTCCTAAGTGATAAAGTATATACTGTATCTTTATGGAACAATGTCCATGTTACTAATTCAGACACAACCAACATCAAATATTACCCTAATGCAGTACTGTTCCCTTAACCCCTTTGCTATGGGGATGCCACTTCATATTTTATTTGGCTGATACCAGACAATTTTATTTACCAGAGTGGGGACCCTGCACAGTACTATACACAAGTGGTTAGTAGTCTTCAACAAGCTTCACTAAAAATAGAAAAGAATTAACAAATAGAATAGAATAAATTTCTCCTGTAATGACTGCATCAAATATGCAGTCACGGTCAAAAGTCCGGTTGCCTCTCCTGCTGCTCCACGAATCCCGAGATTTGTGCCTGGAGTTTTAATCCCCCGCTTTTGTTGGCAAGGGTCGACGGATTTACAACCAAGAGTTTTAGAGAAACGTCTGATTTACAATCAAGATTTTTTTTAAATTAAATCGTGAAGCACACCACACTGCAGCGCTCGACAGGGAGGCGTAGCGGTAAAATTAACTTATGATATTGGAATTAATGTATTTACTGAAATATAGGACACAAAAAGTGACCCTGCACCCAATGCGCCAATACGGTGCAAGTACAGTAATACTAAATATTGTTGGGATAGATTTGTGTTTTTAGGTCTGCTTGTCCTTTATCAGTACACAAGCTCTGCTACCACAGGGAATGATATAAAATACTGAAAAGCAAGCAGAATTATCACAACGTAAAGTAACGCACCAACCATATATTAGCTTAATGACAGAGGTAAACTCATATCATCTCGTTGTACCTCCTTGCCCAGCATTCATAAACCATACCACAAGCTTTTATTATGTTGCTTAACACCCAGGGGAAAATAAATTATATAACGAGCTTCCAACATAACAGTATACGTATATGCGAATGTTGTAGGGGTTTTGAATTACCACCACTGTCATTCTATTATTGTTTCTTTAGTGACTAACTATATTACCTTGCAGGTATACAACTCTATAAATAGTCTTTCTGTCAGGGGTGTGGAGTGGTGGTGTTAATGTCATGTCTGGATACCGTCATCATCGTGTGATCTGTGTGCCATTTTTTCTCTTATTTATACGTATCTACCAAACAACTCAATAAAATACAATAGACTCGCAACTTACGCAGAAGTTACGTTTCTGGGACTCCGTGCAAAGTCAGACACACTCTTAAAAATCCCCTAAATCGCCTTTAAATCACTATATATACGTACATATACACGAGAACTCATAAATCACTACTGTAATGTAATATCAACATCTGTTACAAGTGCATACAGCACATTGCCGTTGACGGGAACACGTTTCTGGTTCATATCCTCCACCCAGATGTTTAATGCCTTCTCCACCTTCACTAAAGGTATGTCACTAACCTGGCTAGTCACCTTAGCAGTAAATGATGCACTTATAGACACGGTTTCACGAATTTCCCTCTCCCGAATCTTGATGGATTTCACGCTTGATTCGTTCCACCTCAACGTCCGTGCTACAGCAGCTATCAACATGCCGCCTTTTATTCAGTCTAACACGGCCACTTTTTCTTCCAGTGTCATCACAGAGCGTTGTTTCTTTGCTGGAGGACCAGAGGCAGAGGTTGGCTTGTGTTAGGGCATTATGAACGAGAATGAGAGAGGCTTAAGCGCACTAAATTGATACACACGAGAGGCAGCTGTTACTCCGACGATACACGTGCGGCAACTGAGACAGACAGAGGTGGCGGGGTGGTGCGTTTGGCCGGCTTGCGACCCTTTTTTAAAGTTTTGAGCTTGAAATAGGAAATTGTAACCTAACCCCCTGGATGACCCGCGTATAGTTAAAACTGCATAAGAAAAAATCCACGTAAATTGTGAGTCTACTGTAGTGCGATTAAAAATTTAAAACTTAATTGATGATAAAAATGATATGCGCATGACTAATGTTTATTTGCCTAACCAACCTTTATAAAGCAATCTACTATATCACATTAAAGTGTGTGTGGATGTGAACTGAACAGCTGACTCACCCTCCATGTAGTCGTGAAGGTGACAGCAGCGCACACAATGTAAGGTGGTCAAACTTAGGTCGAATCTTGGGATTATAGTACTGCATAGTATATAGTACTTTTTAATTCTGAAAATGTACTCATTTTTTGGTTAGATCGGGGGTTCGCAACTTTTATACATTAGTCGGCCACTTAATGGTGCAAGTAATCAGTGATTGGCCACAGGTGTACTAAACCAACATAAGTCAACACTGCATTCCATAGAAGTGAATGTAAAATCAGAAATGCAGGACTATATTTTATTGTCAGGAAATTGTTATGAACAATACCGATATTTATGACTAAACATAACATTCATTTTCAGCATTGAAATACGTACTGTAATGGCACTAGTCACTAGCCTCGTTAAATATTCTGTAAAAAAAAATTAGAATATCTAGCTGTATCTAGCCACATATTTATCAGATTAATGAAAAATATGCAAAAATTAAAAGATTAATCTACATAGGACCTCTACCACAGAAATTTAAGCCAATAAAATATAAATTTTCGAACATACCCGGTATTGGTCAATCAAAATCTGGAACTCGGTTTTTTATTATTTCTTTAATTTCCCTGCCTTTTATCTTAACCCAAAATATTAGGAATAACAATCTTACCAACCAAATAGCCAAAAATTTAGATGTCACCCAGCCGGCCGCATACATACCCCTTTCCAGAAAACGGGGTTGCAGACCCCTGGTTTAGTTAGATAGATTTATTGAGTTAAAGGATCATACATCTTACACATTTGTTCAACATGTTTTATTTAATACTAAATGTACTAGAGGGAATGTTATCAAAGAACATGCCATAGAGAGATTTATCAAGTCATATCATGCAATATGCAATAATCTTATGTTACTCATAACCTATAAAATCGTCATCCAATACGCAATAGTTCACTACAAGATGAAGGCGACTGGCTTAGATCCACATCTAACAATGGGCAGTGAGACACTGAGTGTGGTCTCTATTGACTGTCACTTCCACCCTTCGCCCACCAATTCCCGCACGCACGGCGGTGGCGGGAAATTTGAAAATTAATTCTTCCAAACGCGGTTAAGGCGTGTATGATGCGGTTTAATAATATTGGTAGTATACTGTACTGTATTTACATTTACAAAATATGTTTTCCACTAAAAAAAAATAAAAATTGTTCCACAAATACTGTATATGAAGTGTACTGAAATTTTTTCCTTAAAAATCCTTGTAAAATAAGGATGCGGTGGTGCGTCTTTTATACCGGCAAATTTGGTAGTTCGCTTTACCGCCCCACCTCCCTGTCAAGTACTGTAGTGCAGTGTCCTTATTGACTCAAATTTTTTTAAACTGGTTGTAAACACGACGACCCCCGTCAATAGAAGAGGGTGACTGAAACTCCAGGCGTTTGACTCGTGAACCCAAAGCAGTAGACACTGATGTATTCTGTTCACTGCTGTTTCTGATTCACATGTCTAATTTGGGGGGTTTGTGGAGCAGCAGGGTGACTTGCTTAATAAAATAAGAATGGTGAAGAGTTACTTTGAGGAGGTTCAAATAGGTGGAATATAGCAGGAAAAAAAGACACACTGTATTTTCAGTAATGTATGGGGTTTTAAACTTCACCTTTGTTTGTTTGTTTGGGAATTGGTATGGGAGTGAACCAACCTCAAGGTTCTGATCCATTGAATCCAGAACCTCACTGGTTCATGAAGCAACCACAGGGGTTAAGTTTGTTTTGTTTTTTTAGCTGATCAACTGTAATTTATACTGGTCTGACTGGAGTATGTAGCTTCCTACCAAAACATGCCAGGGCCTGTCGCCAATCTTGTCGATCTCTCGCTAGTGAAACCATAGCTCATACTGAATTTAATCGGCAGTAACGGTTAAATAGATAAATGGATAATATTAACAAGATACAGTAACACTAAACTTTTTGTATTTCCTCAGGATCTCTTAAGCATTACACTTCAGACCCTTAGGACATCCACAACAGATAATGGCCAAGTGAAGCAATTGGTGGCATGTCAAGAAAAATCATCTGGCAAGAAATTTTCACACCTGACAGTCAATGGTGGCCGAATTTTTCTACACTGTCTCACTGGCACCTTAACACTCAAGGAAGCTCGCCAGTTGCCGGTAATATGTTGAAATTTAAAGAACTGATCAATATTAAGGTTTCTTCACTTTTAACTCGGAGAAATTTAAAGTGTGTGTGTGTGTGAATACACACACTAAGCTTAAAATTGCCTGTAATCCTCAGATGGGGTTTGTGAAATATAAAAACTTTAGACAATAATTTATATAAACTTATGATTTTAAATGAAGCTCCTTAAATTTTTTTTATAATTAATGACAGCCATGAATAAAAGTGAAGTAACTCTCAACTTATTGATGGATGTCTAAATGATTTACTGTGAAGGACTATCTTATTTTACATGTTGTTCTCATTTATGTAAGTTTCACAAGAAGCAGATATGCAGTAATATGGTTTACTTATTACTATCCAAATTTTTTATGCCAGGTTAAAATTCTCACACATAACTGTGTCGTGTTTTTCATCTTTACCTGTGCAATGCATCATTAGATTTTCAAAAACATCTCGAGCACTAGAATACACCAGGAATGTTTAAAATCCCACTATGTCATTGCCTAAGTCTGTATATACATCTAAAATAACTTAATTTAAGACAAAATTAGAAATAGAGTGACAAAATGCAGTTTATGAAAGTAAAAATAAGTCATTAGTTAAATAAAATTCTGTAAATTTGAGGTTTAACCCCGTTCGTTTCGGCGGGCGTTCGTAAGTCGGGGACCTCCTGTACTCTCGATTTAGCAGAATCCGATAAAACGAACTCTGGAACTTGTAACTTTTTTCTCACCCCTCCTCCCCCCCCCTACCAAACAGGGAGTTACTACCGCCTGGGAACATATTGGAAGCAGAATGCATTGTATAATGGTAGACCCTGTTGCCATATAGCATCACAAAAATTTTGACCAAGTCCCAGGTTGCTGTTCTGACTTTCTGCCTCATTTACACAATTGCAGGTCACTCTTGTTTCTCTTACTTTGACAACAGCATACATGCCCTGTATACCATTTCCTTTATTATTATTATATTATATTTTTAATATTTAAAAAAAATATAAACCCGGTATATTATTTTTATTAATTTATTATTATTATTACAGTAAGTCCTCATTTAACGTTGCCCCCGATAATGTTGTTTCGTTATAACGTCGCTACTCTTTAGTTACCAATAATTCGGTTAATGTCCCGACAACTCAATATGACATCGTTTTTTATCATCGTCACGGACTAAGGTACTATGGAAGTGCTGGGATGGGTGTGAAAGGGATCTGCCCTGTATGGGCCAGTCGGCCTCCTGCAGTATCCCACTTTCTTATGTTCTTATGTTATGTTATGTTATGTGTTGTAGAACTATTGTACAAGAACAGGAGAATCGCCCCAGAGGAATGTGTGTTCAGTAGTGGAGGATATGACTTATTTTTGAATGTGTCCCACCAAAGGTGGGGAACATATTTTTGTCTATTAGTTTCACTGGTATTGGCCTTACTCCAAATGCAAACCCCCAGAATATATGAGAACGACCTGTATTTTTATTGATAAATTGACTTTGTAATTTAGTCAAATTTATGCTTTGTTGCTAGAATTATTTCTTTTCTTATATTCTTCCTTTGTTTTTATATTACCTGTATAGAAATTATGTTAAATAAGCACATGTCATTCATGCGGGTTTCACTTATATTGACAGTTGGAGTGCTTCAAGTCCTACCTGGATGGTGCTGCATCTCTGACTTTCTTCGACCTGTCTTGGGATGGTGCTTGTCAAGGTCAAGTTTACATACGCTTGACTGGTGATACAGTCAGAGGGCGCCAGTTTCTAGACTTGTGTACTGGCGAGAAAGGAGTTTCTTTCCAGAAAACTCCCTTCCATCGTATTTGGTGGAAGGGTCACCCAGGTGAACACATATGGGGTGGTGATTATGAACAAGGAGATGGTAGTGGAGGTGCATCAGTCTCAAATAACAGTGATATTGATAAAGCAGGTATATTAGGTCGAGCTGTCCCTATCACAGCTGGTTTGGTTGCAGGGCGATATGAAAAGAAAAATGTTAGTTCCATCTTTCGGATCTACACCAGAGAGGCCAAGGGTGTTATTGAGGAAGCTGCTTTTGGTCAAGTGGAATTTGGGCTTGATGTAATACAGAGAGCTATCAACCAGAAGAACATTAAAGATGTGATTATTTCTGACTGCGGGGTGGTCTTGGAGTAGTAAGAACTATGGTAAATGTTATGCTGGTGAACTGTTCCTTTCTCTATTACTGCACAGTACTTGGAAAGGGGTTCTGGGTAACATTTGCTTATTTCATGTTAATTGTTTTTATTTAAAGATATGCTTCACATTTTAAATAGTTTACTTTGCATGGTATTGTGGAATCCTTTTGTATTTGCTTTAAATCATCTACAGTATTTAAAATATTATTTCAGATAAAATCTACTTTTATAATGAAGTTAGTTCTTCGACTGTGAAGATTATAATTCGGATGTCTCCAAGAGGTGAGAGCAATCAAGGTACTGTTGGTGACCATGGTCCTCCACTCTCACTTCAAAATTTTGGGGGCTGTCTTTAGTAATCTTATTGAATATTCCATATCCCTGGGGACCTGAATTTTTTACGTTCAGCTTTCATGCTAGTACCTGTTTTCCTTTGGCCCCCCTTCAGTTTTACCCATAAATCTTTCTTCATTATTGAAGCATCCCTAATTATTTGACATAATTTTTTCATTTTATTGTATTCTATAAATTTTCCAGTATTTATCTCATTGTTCCAGCTTGTCTTAGTACATTAATCCACCATTTACTTCTTTATTGGTGTAACATATTTTAACCCTTAAACAGTAGCCATCAACTGTGAAAGTTAGCTGTGGTCATCATCTGTGGTAGTTTCATGTCCTTTACATTCCATTTTTGCTTATACAGGGAGTGTAAGGAATCCTTAGCTGCTAAGTAAGGGTTAAGAATTGTATTGTGGCACTACATTTTGAAAAAAATAAGTCCTTTTTGTATCTGCTGGAAGTAGTCGTACTGTACTACCAACTTCTAAAATAATATTTATCATACATTGCATACCAGTATCTATTTCTTTAGAATAAAATTAAGTACCATTTTTCACAGATTTCTGATATTATTAGAAGTTGTCCTTGCTTGACCTAGGCCAGTTATAATTTCATACTTCCCATCATAATTTATGTTATTTTGCTAATACAAAAATTTTTCCACCCGTTACATTCTGTGCTATGTGCCTAAATTTCCATTTTATGATCTGCTATATTGAAGGGCATATAAGATACGCTTTTATTCAGTAAAATAACAATAAAAAAAAATACCCTGCACCATATATATATATATATATATATATATATATATATATATATATATATATATATATATATATATATATATATATATATATATATATATATATATATATATATATACATACATACATACATACATACATACATACATACATCTTGATAAAATCACACGGGAAAATGGAAACAACGGAGTACCTTAGCTTTCGTCTTTATTCAAGACGAAAGACGAGGCCAATTGGCTAAATTCAACCTAATCCAATTCTAGAATTAAATTAAAATTTTAATTAAATAGTTAAACACATTATTAATACCTCTCATTAATAATAAAAAAGGTTATAGTTATAAAAGCTGGATAAATATCTACTGTTCTGCTAATGAAAACCCAAGATGATCTGTATACTACCCAACTCTTGAGAGCTAAGCATCGCCTCAGTAGTTTGTAACATCATCTGCCGGTGTGCAGTTAAGACTTGTATTCAGTTGTCATTTAATCTTTTTAGAGAGCTTAATATGGACATCATAGTACAGTGAGTAACAATCATAAAAATGATGGCTGAGTATGTACAGTACTAATATTGAATTTAATTTTATCCTCATTTTATGAAACTATGGCTGCAGGGGAAAAATACACTGAAGTTTATTCCTAAATATTCTCTGCTGAAATATGAGTGCATCTTATATGCTGTAAAATACAGTATTCTTAATTTGGAAACAATAGTTATTTCAATTTCTATAAAATTTGCTTTAAACCCACATTTGCCATTTTCCATTAATCTAATGACCAGTATTTTAATGCCTCTGTACTGTCAGTAATATGAGCAGTATCATCAGCATACAGTACCAGGTATTGAAATTAATATGAATTAATTTTTCAGATTAAGACAGACTACATAACATAATTATTTATATGGATATGTATTGATAGATTAGAGATTTCAAGTGCCTAACATTGTATTTATTTTGACACTATGCCGAACTCTGGTGATAGTTCTCGTGATCTTGACTCAGGTTCTGGCGAATTAAATGTGATTTTGTATATACAGTACCATACTTAAGGTTGTAAAATGTAAGTATTTGATGGCTTTTGTGCATAATGATGCCGCTCATGTATTTAAAAAATATTACTTTCAGAACGATGGAGGCAGTTCTGCTAGATATTAATCAGCAGTCTTATCAGTTTGATATCATGAATGGCAATTATATATGAAAATGAACACTGTTAATTTCTCTGTATGGTCAGCCTCCAAGAGGTAAAAGCTAGAGAAAGCTAATTCTTGAGCTTTAAAAATTGATCTTTAATTTTGTGCATGTACATTAGTTAGCTTCTTTTGGACAACTGTCTTCTTATTTGGAAAACCATCCTAGGTGTTGAAACACAAACTCAGAAAAGTTGCAAAATTTATTGTTAAAACACATTATCTGTATTATTTCTTTCTCCTCCAGGAACCTATACTGTACAATGTTGAACTTTCCATTGAAACTCATTATGTGAGATATATGCAGTGTGGGCATCATTCAAAGCCCAGCAATTAGTTGCTACTCAGCAGCTTTCCATGCTTACCTTCAGCCGGTGACCAAACTTGGGTAGTTAAAGCATGCTGTGTGAGACTCATGTCTCCCTTTGTTAACATTTATTTGCACTATAAGCACTTATTGGAAAGGCCAGTATAATTTATTATGATTTCTTTAACTTTGAAATAAAAGTTTACGACGTGGACTAGTCACAATATGGGACCAAAGACCGTTACAAGTGTAGCTTAGTAACTGGTAGAGAAAACTCAAATTTACTCACTGACAGAGATAAAGTAATATTTCTTGGATGTAGTTAATGCTGGGTTCAAAGTTTTTAGGGGGGGATCTGTTAGACTTCCTCAGGTTTTTCCTTCATTCTGAATTACTTTGATTGCTACTGTTCCTGTAGATTTGTAAGCTGTTACTAGAGAATGTTCATATGACCTAATCTTACAAGTATTCTTCCTCCCTGTTAATGATAAGCATAAATTATCATAAAGCAAAAAATATGTCCTTTAAATATTTTTCTTGCTTGTAAATTTTTCTTTCATTATGCCTCATATGGGGATGAAATTCTGCTGGTACTCATTAAACTCTCACTGCCTGACAGCTTGTCACTCACATAACCTTGGAGGCAGTCTACATAGGTACCAGATCACATCAATGTTGCCAAATGCATATCTAGCAAACAAAATTTTTTTATTGTAATTTTTTAGTTAATTTCCATATGCAAACCCATATGTCATGGGTGTTAGTTGTAAAATTGGATACCTATTTTACTTTTACTTATGCTCTTTGGTGGAGGTAGTTAAATTTTTTAGCTAAGCACATTGGGAACCATTGATTTTTAGAAGCAGAACTAAAATATTATGTTCATCCTACCTTTAGGCAGATTGGTTGCATCAGATTCAGTTTTCCCCATGCAGTGCAGGGGCTAGTTTATTGGGCACCCCTTACATCTTGTGTAAGGCAAAGAACATAAGCATTACAGCATCCAACTTGGAAGTATGCGAGTTCATTGCCTTCTTAAATTTAGATGAACGGTGGGCTAATTGCATTGATTCTGCCATTGGCCAAGTCTCTAAACTTTCTTTAAAGCTGATTGGTACTTTACTTTTGAGTCATCCAGCAGGAAAGAGTTGATACTCGTGGCTTTTTTCCAGTATAAGTGAGGGCTGCTGTAACTTTCCCTGCCACAGGTTGGGCATTGGATGGTATTCCTGATTTCTGTCTTGTAATTTGCCTCAGTTGGTTGTAATAAATTGGCTGTAATTGTAATTAATTCTTCAAGGTCATACCTTGGTTCAATCCTGGTACATTATCACACAATAGATTACTGTACAGTGTTTATGTTCATTACTAATAATCATGTTAGTAGGTACTGATATTTGGGTTTATTTGATTGGTTGTTTACATTGAATTTATTAAATGTGTTGTGGTTTGATTGTTAGGAAGCAAATCAGTCACTGATTATCTTGGTCTATGCATTATTCTTGATGTGAATCCACTTAGAAAACTGTGTATTACCAACTTAACACTGATAAATTGTTTGAGGGCTTATGCAAAATAAAACTTTAAAAATATATACTGTACTGTTATATCTTTAAAAAATTCTATTGCTTTTATTGATTAATTATTCTTACTGAAAAGGGAGTCTCATGTTTGTGATCATTGTACAGCCTCCCACACTACCACCTGCGACAGTCAGCGGTTTTGCCAATCATCGTCTCGGAGTTGTGAACGACGGGAATATGAACCCGTGTCCTAATCACGTGTCGGTCGGGGGGTTACTAGAGGAATTGTGTGGCTAGCAAGACTGGATTTTTTATTTAGAAGCATATACAGTACTTAGTTAACTTGTCGCTTAATACCATGATTCACTCATACTGGCTGTGAACTAATATTTTGTCATTCTTGCTTGTGCAACCACTGGTGCCAAAGAGATTGGCTTTATCAGAGGGAGAGTTGACTATAGAGTTATCAGGTCAGAAAAGAGGGAGTACAGAAGTGAAAATTTTGACAGAAGATGGGATAAATGCAATCATACCCCCCAGTATAACCCCAGCAATGCTGGCAGCGCATACCGAGACATCCCGAATGGAAAAGCAACATTCATCCCAGGGAAAGTCAGAGAAGAATTCTTGCAAGGATTGCCAGTGTGCACTATAAAGGTTGTAGTTAGAGACTTGAAAAGGTTTGGGAGAAGCTGCTTTGGTCAGTTGGAGTTCAGATAGTAGAAAGAGATTGGGGGAAAAGGTTAATGAAAGAAGGTGCTCTACAGAAGAAAAATTGGATCTCAGGCTGCAAATGTTGGAAAATTGAAGTGTGAAAAGAGCCGATCTTCCAGCAACTGCAGTGATGCTAGTTGAATCCCCAGTAGTTTGATGATGGTCAGGTCGACCCGGGGGTCCACTACCTTCCTGACCAGTGGGACCCATCTGAGAAGGCCCTCCTATAATATTATTGTCAACTGGTATCACAGGAGAATAAAATAGAAAAAATAAAAACAGATCAAGAGTGAG